GGAATGGAATAATGACACAACTGCAAATCGTCTGCTCTATCTCAAAGCCTAAACAAGGACAACTCTGTTCGTAAATACAGCGTTGAGGCCCATGATAACTCTGTACATGGTAAACATTTTCTTTGATAAGAAATTACACTTTCATTATATAATGAAAATATTCAAGGAGAAACACAAAATATCTCAAAAGAGAAACGCTAAGTATGAACTCAAATTCTACATATTTTGTCACGTTATTGTGAAACATAACACCAAAATGTCACAGATATCTTCAAAAAGATTGGAGACCACTTTGAAATATTATCTATTTATTTTGTCATTGTAGTTTCTGTGTTGTATGAATGTGTCGCGAGGGGAGATGAAGAAAAAGGGAACCCAAAATGCAGGACTGAACAGCAAATGTAATTATCTTCCCCTGGGTTTGTGGAAGTGAACCGCCTTCGCTCCCATTTTCTGCCTCACCCTTCCCTGTCCTCCCTGTCCTCTGTCGTGTCCAGTATTTTGTCATTGTATTTGCCTGAGATCCCCAATGTTCTTTGTACAGTATATTTGAATGTGTATCTTGTGGTCCCATTGTTCCTTGTCCTGCAGTCGTTCTGTTCCTGTACTGTCTTGTGACTTTCTTTTGTGTCATTGTTAAATGTTCAATGTGAAGTTTCACATCAGCCTGATAGGGACAACAGATGGAAATTAGCCTATGGCTAAAATCTGACATATTTACATATTTTATATGTTCATTAATATGTACTGTCTCTACTTAAATAAATAAATAAAAAAATAAAAAAATATCAAATTAAAATCCATAGTGACAAAAAAGAACAAAAACAGGACAGGACAAACGTGGTAGAGACAATGAACGGACAACAAGAGAGGAAAGGGACAGGGTATATATACACACAGGGACACACAGGTGAATCACATTAAGGCGGGGCAACAATCAACAGGACTGGCAGGATGAAAACTCAAAACTACAGAAGAACAAATATATAGCAAAATAAAACCAGGTGAAAATGTCCACACCATGACAGCATGTTTTCTTTATCTATGGAGCCTGAGAGGACCAGTTCTCTCAAATTGCAAGATAAATTCACCCAAGTACAAATTAAGAAACCTGAACCAATTTGGGGTCTGAGGGTCTGGCATGAAATGCATGTGCGTCCTCTTGTGGCGCATCTGTGAAATGACACAATCTCAATGCCGTTCAGGGCAAGTTTTTTTTTCAAATAGTATCTTTTTTCAGAGGTTTTAACTGAAGACACATCAATAAAATAATTATAATAACGCATTGGTTTTATATAGCAGTTTTTTGGACTCTCGAAGACGCTTCATATGTCATTTATTCATTCAGTATGTGCGGCTCGTCCGATCACTACCCGGTCACAGATAGTTGACATGTAATCATTGAGGCAAATTAAACATGGCTTGTGTTCACTCTAGAGCAGGGATGCCCAAGCTCACATCCCCACATTGGTCCCTTTGAGGGTCTAATATGGCCTATGAAGGGGGGAGGACATTGGTCAAAACCAGTCTGGCAGTCATTAAGGACAGTTTAGTCATTCCTTTTGATGCAACACATAATTATCTTTGGCCCTCTGCCCACCAATATAGTTTTAGCCGCAGATTGACCGTTTGGCCACCCCTGCTCTAGAGCTGAGGAGGATCAGCAGGAGAGGAGGTGGAGTGCCACCTACAGGGTTGGTGCTGTGATCCCTCCTCTTTCCAATGATTCTGCTTTATCCATTGCTGGGTTGCGAGGGTAGCTGTCTTAACACAGACGCCCAGACTTCCCTATCCACACACATTTCCTCCAGCTCATCCGAGGGAATCCCGAGGCGTTCCCAGGCCAGCTGAGAGACATAGTCCCTACAGTGTGTCCTGGGTCTTCCCCTGGGTCTCCTCCCAGTGGGACATGCTCTGAACACCTCCTCAGGGAGGCGTCCAGGAGGCATCTGAAACAGATGCCCGAGCCACTTCAACTGGCTCCTCTTGACGTGGAGATGCAGCGACTCTACTCTGAGCTCCAAACGAGTGACTGATCTCCTAGCACTCTCTTTAGGGGAGGGATGCAGAGGAAAGACCCCGAGATACTTGAACTCCTCCATTGGAGGAAGGACCTCTGCACCTGGAGAGGGCCAGGCACCTTTTTCTGGTCAAGCCCCATGGCCTCAGGCTTGGGGGTGCTGAGCTTTATCTCAACCGCTTCACACTTGGCTGCAAACCGTCCCAGTACATGTTGAAGGTCCTGGTTTGTTGTAACCAGCAGGACAACATTGTCTGTTAATGGCAGAGATCAAATCTTGTGGTCCCCAAATATGTTATTTTATTTTATTTATTTTATTTATTTTATTTATTTTATTTATTTTATTTGTTTGTTTATTTTATTTATTTTATTTGTTTGTTTATTCTATTTTCCTTTATTGTATTTATTCATTTTTTCTTCATTGTTTTTTTTGTATTACTTTGATATCATTTTGGTTTGACAGTGTGATCAGACATACTTACCAATCTAAGCTGTTATGCATGCAGACTATAACTAAAAGGCAAATACACCTTTACAACATTCTGTCCCAGTGGGCTTTTCTGCTTTTAAAACCTTCATGAAAGGTTTTAAACAATAATAAAGGAACAATATCTCTCTTTCATGGTGGCTGTGACTTTAGATTCCTCGGCCAAAGGTAAGACATGTGCCTTTGTTTGGGCTGAGGACAGAGACAAGGCCCTTCCAACTCTGACAGCACTGAAAAAGACACACACACACACCACCACATGAGATAGGAGTTTGTAATAAAGTCATCATACAGTCATTGTGTGAATGAGCACATGAGGAACACACACTGACAACTTTAACTGGCCCTGTGTCATTATCAAAGATGTCTTCAGATTGTTTCCAGATTTGTGTTCCAGGAGGAGACAGTGGTCATGTCCCGGTGAGTCGTCTTCAAATAAGTCATGACCCTATGAATGAGAGGCTCAGTCTGCTCTTACTGTTCAGATGGGTGTGTCGCTGATGGAGCTGGCCATGGTATCAACCACACTACTGCAGTGAAGCACCACTAGAGACCACCCTGATCCTGACTCTACACAGTGAGAGGCCATTCTGACTCTGGACCAATAACATGGACACGTGTCTGGTGAGCTGGTCTCTTAGGGTCCATTTAGGATCCACAGTTGAATGCAGACATATTGTTACTTACATTAATGAACTTGTGTTCATTACAGGAACTCAAGCTCAGTGTTCTATAATGACTGTTGTACTTCCAACTCCAGCCACAAATAGTCCAAAGAACGCACATCCAAACATTCGTAAGCCAATATCAAAGATAAAGAGTGTTCAGTCTGTATCTGCACATCAGAATGTAAGTGACACCAAACTTGTATTTAACCAAATGTAGGATCTATTCTTGTGAGAATGACCTGTAGAGGCTGCAGTCCACATCAGAGGAAGAGAGGAACCTGCCACAAAGAGACCAGACTCATCCCAAGTGAGAGGCCTTCAGTTTGTGTCCTGCTGCTCTTCTGAACTGCAGGGAGCAGCGTCTACAGTCAAAGCTCTGGATTTACTGCTCAGTGTACGGTATGTTCCCACCATGAGCTTTGGAGAAAGGACAAGATGGCAGATACAAGGCTTTAAATGAGTTTCCTTCTGACTAGAGCCACTGCTCCTTCCCGTCAAGAAGAACCGTTTGAGGTGATGAGAGGAGGCACCTTTTCAAAGTGAGTTTGGCACAATACTGTTGCATAGTCCAACCAGCAACAATACTCTCAATAATCTTTTCAACTGGCCCTTTGTCATCAGATGCATGGCTGTTTAAAGATGCAAAACCCAGAACAGGAGCAAGTGGCCTTGGACCTGTAAGACGTTTTTCAGTGCCTTTTCACCTGGCAGACGATGATGTCAGTGGAGCAAGGGCGCTCAGCACCACAGAGAGCCACACCCCCTGCACCGGACCACAGCCCAGTATACCAGTGTAGATGCTGAGAGCCGCCGCAACTAGGAGAAGCTCCAACAGAGGTGAGAGTGAATACAGTACCTCTAGCAATTCTCTGAGGATTTACAACAAAATTTCACGAATACCATTCTTCTGTTTTATTGTGACTGCAGGCGCTGAGGAGCAGTTGGACCTGTGGACCTAACGGAGAAACTGTGACCAAAAGCGGCTCCAATGAAACTCAGCCCCTCTGAATACAAGGCCAGGGTACTGGACCGGAGGCAACGCCTCATGCAGCTGCATATGTGTGTGAAGTGGGGAGTCTGGGCCACTCTGCTCAGATTGCTGCCTCTGTGACCCGGCCCAGGATAAATAGGAAGAAAATGTGTCCAGATGTGCCCAGAACAAGTGACTGAGGGATGGAGGAAGCTCAACAGAAGACGGCGCTGAAGAAATCCAAATGTAGTCATAATATGTCAGATTCAATTGTACTTTTAATTCTTATTACAGTAATAGTAAGTTTGTGTTGAAGTGCTGTGTTACTTGCTTTAGGGACCAAATATGCACACTTTGAGCCCAATTTTCTCTGAATTTCTACAGTAAAATTGAATGTTTTTTTGCACAGTGGTAGATGGCATCACAGTAAACAAGTGTTCAGTGAAAGTAGTCGCAAAACTCTTAAATTTTGTATTATTTAATAAAAATTGCATTTTTTTTGCTCGTCGTTACAGCCTCCCTTTCCACGTTTACCTTAAGTAACAGCATAAAGGGGCCAACCGCTCAATGTGCGGACCTCTTTAACAGGAACAGTTCAGAACCAGCACCTTGAAAAGAGGGCTTTTAAGATTGTTACTAAGCAACAGAAAATGGCTTTAAATGGCTAAATTTGATATTTAGTTAGATTACAAATATATATGTTTTGTGTCCATGGATCTATAATAATATCGTTTGTGTCTCACTTTTTTCACCAACGGCTTGATTGCTGATTGTTCTCTGTGAACCTGGCCACCCTCTGCCCGTAGACAGCAGCCCAGTCAGATGTAAACATGACTCCATGACGGAAAAGGCACCATGGTTTTCGAAAACATTGTGGTCGACGTCCTGAACAGGTTTCTGGGAGATTATGTGGTGAATCTCGACTCGTCGCAACTTCAGCTCGGCATCTGGGGAGGTAATAAGCAAACGAACAAATATAGACATGCTAAGCTAACATGCAAAGTGCTAACACATGCTAACACATGCTAATGCTAACGGGCAGTCCCACTCCAGCAGCTGTCAGTTGCTGTTGGCCCGACCCCGATACAATAATATTAACATGCATCAACCAAACTTGTAGCTTGAGGTGCTGGTTAACTCATGCTTTAACTACACATATAAAATTATTTAACGTTTGTTTTTATTTTTTTTATGTCAGAATCATTTTTAGCTTGATGTTGTAGAATTCTTTATAAATGGAAAGGGCAAGTGTCCAGAAGCTACAACTCTATGGGAAAGAAGCACCTCATGACGAAAATGTTGATAAAGAAAATGGTGATTAGATTCACACATTTTTTTAATAACGTCAGCTCAGCCGATATTTAGACCATAGACCATGTATGTGGGAATTGGGACAGTTTTTAGTTTCATGAGGATTATCCCAAGAATGACAGAAAGATTGGCTTAAAAATAAGACTAGAAGATGCCCTCAGATGCCCTCCAACACAATTTTAATCTATAGCTTTAGGCTCGTTGGAATGTTGTGATGTCACATGAACAGGTAATTGTGGTTAATCCAGTCACAATAACTGTGTACATAACCCAAAAGTAAAAAAGTTGTTCCAATCATTCTGTAGACCTTAAAGGAAAATGCTTTTTGTCTGTCTCTTGGATTTTCTTTTGAAGTGATTTCCATGAATGTATAGCATGAAGTTTTTTGTTTTTGTTTCATATCACAATAGGACAGATTAAAGCCCAAAGGAACAATATTATCAGGACAAGTAGCTACCAGTCAGTTTCAAGCCCGCACACTATATTTATATTTGACACTTTGAACTGAATCTAAATAAACATTCAGCACAAATGTATTTTCAGTTTGTGCTGTGAGATATTATTTTATCAACTGCAGTCAATAAATCACATGATTTTACAGTTTTTGAGATCAATGAATCATCATTTATTACACATCCTGACATCGACTATATCCATCAAACGCTGATTTATTCCTGCTTTTATCATATGTTGACTTGTAGAGGGTGTTACTCTCTTTCTCTTTGCTTTCAAAGGATTTGACACATACAAAAACGTGCTTGTGTGTCACGCCCTTTCTCCTGAACCAGAGCTGCAGAGTAGACTGAACAGAAATGAGGCTTTAATTGGTGGAAAGCCAGATGAGAGCCACTCTAAACCTGTTCAAACTTGACTGAAAACAAAACCTCATTGTGTGAACTGCTTGCACTCTCTCGAGTCTAGTGTCTATTTACTTTGTATATTTTAGATAGGTAGAATTTAAATTGACTCAAATTGGGAAAGAATATTGATTCAGGTACAAGTGCTGTTACTGTCAAATTTTGGAATTGTTTTAATACAATAGAAATAGCCCTACATCACGACAACAGTCATCTCAGATGACTTAACAAAACCATTGAAATCACCAACACAGATCAGAGAATAAACAGTTAAGACAAAAAAAATAAAAATAACACATATGTATTGGTCTACTACTGTTCTTTACCGTGAGAACTTGAGATGTAACAGTATGGTGTGTTCAAAAATATGAATGGCATGTACTATTAATTTTGACTAACATAAATGTAACATAGAACATCAGTTAAAAAACAAAAGAGTAAGAAAGTGTAACGACCTTTTGTTAAAATACTGCTCTTTCCAAAGCACACAGAAAGTTACATTCCAAAGTAGTTTGAATTGGTAGATTCGTGAAAGAGGTGAAAAGTACTCTTGCTGAGTACTTTTGCTGATGTCACGTCATGGGTGAGGCCAAGGCAAAGGTCTCAACTTTATAAATTTAAACAGTTTGGTTTACTGAGTGGGAGTGAAAACCTTTTATTAACCAAATCATATTCTGTTTACAGGTGATGCCATTCTGAAAAATCTTGAAATCAAGGAAAATGCTCTGGTAGGTCCACTTAATTTTACTTAAAGTCCCTTAAAGATTCAAACATCTCTGGGTGTCATACATACCTCCAAACTTGTCACCTTTTTATACTCTTAGAACAGGTCCTTTATGTCGATCTGGAAGAAAATAGTTTGAGTATTGTATCGTCATAATTTAGAAGTTAGTAGGAATGGTGGTAGAATTCTAATAAATACTGCTGTAAATACTGTTGGCTGAAATGCAGTAAAAATCCTTTTTGAAGCATGTCACTGAATGTATGCACGAAACACACTACAGCTTTTATTGTAGTGCTTTTATTAAAGGTCCTATATCACGCTTTTATTCATGTTTCACACTTAATCCTATACACATGTGTGATATTAATGTGTATGATACACCACACAACAATCAAAGCTTGTGAGATTAGAGCCATCTCTTGTATAGAGGTGACGTCACCTCGACTCAAACGAGCTGATCCAGAGAAGAGTCTGCTCCTCTGCCTGTGAGCCCGCCTCCCCCCGCCCGCACGGTGACGTAGCATCACGCTTTTGTCGTTTATCATCTGTACTTAGTAATTTCATACATAAGAATAAACTTTTTCCAACAATGACAATCCGTCACATCGAGCCCTATGTCCTCGATGCACAATCAGACCCTAGTTATTTAGTTTACAGAAGTATACAGCGAGTTAGCGTCACTACTTACAGATCGAGGGGGTCCGAGTATCGTCTTTTACCGTGGGAATAACGTGTTTCCAGATCAACTTTTGAGTAAGTCCAGTTCCATTGTCCCTGTAGTTCTGGAACAGTCTCAGTAAAGTGTCGCAGATTAACCGGTATTATAATAGATCCATGAGATGAACAGATGAAAAAAGTTGAGCCGCTTTCTTCCTCTTAAGGCCAAATAGTGTGTCACATATTTACACCCATAACACACTTCATTTAAGTTGACGTGATCCTAACACTTTTAGTTGCTGACAAAAGCATAAAAACAGAAGCTCTATGTGGTGTCCGCGAGACCAGACCACAGACGCTGGACTCAGGAGCCGGAGCCTGTGCGCTCTGATTCGCTGTTTTGATCCGTCAATCACCTCCCGCCGGCTTTTAATTTATTATTATTTTTATTATTTTTGACAAAAAACAGCATACTAATTGTGTATTGTTTACCCTGTTTTGACAAAAGTATTTAACAACTATTTTAAATACAAAGCAAACGGTGTCATGCGCGTCATCAGTGTGGTTTTTGTCACTGAAGTGGACCCGAGCGTTTCTGTGCCTCACGCTGGGGAAGGAGACAGATTGCTCTTTTACAAAAGATTGACAGAATCAATGAATAAACTACTGTGGGCTTGTGTATGAAGGCCAAATAGCATTGTAATCAGAATCAGAATCAGAATCATTTTTATTGCCACGTAAGTAACAGGAGGTCACAGACTAGGAAATTGCTTTGGCTCAGTGCAACAGTCAAAAAGAGATAATAAAAATAAGAATAAAAAACACTTCTAAAGAATAAATTTAAATTTAAAATAGAGTTACAGTTACTATTTACAATATACAAGTGCGCATGGTGCACACAATGTAAGGTGACAGCAGTACAGTGAAGTAAAGTGACGTATGATGGGCAGTAACGTGACGTATGATGGGCAGTAAAGTGACTTTATAAAGGGCGGGGGGACAGGTTAAGAAGTGTTCAAGAGTCCAACAGCAGAGGGGAAGAAACTGTTCTTGTGGCGGGAGGTTCTAGTCCTGATGGACCGCAGCCTCCTGCCTGAGGGGAGTGGTTGGAATAGTCCATGTGCAGGGTGAGAGGGGTCGGCTGTGATACGACCAGCCCGGCCTCGAGCTCGGGCGACGTACAGGTCCTGCAGCGATCACCTCCTCTGCAGAGCGCACAATGCGCTGTAGTCTCTGTTTGTCCCTGACTGTGGCTCCAGCGAACCACACGGTGATGGAGGAGGTGAGGATGGACTCGATGATGACCGTGTAGAACTGCACCAACATCTGTGCAGGCAGCTTGGCTTTCCTGAGCTGCCGCAGGAAGTACATCCTCTGCTGGGCCTTCTTGATGAGGAGGCTGATGGTCGGCTCCCACTTGAGGTCCTGGGTGATGGTGGTGCCCAGGAAACGGAAGGACTCCACAGAGGTGATGGGGGAGTCCATCACGGAGGGTGGGGGCGGGGGGACAGTGCTCTTCCTGAAGTCCACAATCATCTCCACTGTCTTCTGGGCGTTCAGCTCCAGGTTGTTACCACTGCACCAGGACACCAGCCGGTCCACCTAATCATGTTTAAAGCAGAGAAAATTCAAAAACCGTGATATGGGCCCTTTAATGTCTAAGTTTTATTAATGGTTAAATAGATTTTTGAAACATGCAATAAAATGAATAGAGGTTTAAACACAGCAGGCATTTGTTAAGGTGGCGATCATTGGAAATTACACTGTCACCTCTTTACGCCGGTTGAGTTTGCAGGTTTGGTCATAATATGAGCACCACAGGCCTGTTGGACCTCCCTAAGACGAACACTTTGCCAAAGACAAACACTTCATAATCCAGTTTTAAAATCATTGTTGCATAATCAAACACATTCACATGTGAATACATTGACCTCAAGGTACACTATGTAACGTTTCACACTTTTTGTTTTTTTCCAGAGTCAACTTGATATACCATTTAAAGTAAAAGCTGGTCACATAGGTAAGGAAACAATGCTAGTCAACAGTTTTCTTTCTCATTTACTAACTTGTTTTGTTTTTTACAGGAAGGTTAGAACTTAAAATTCCCTGGAAGAATCTCTATGCACAGTCAGTGGAAGCCACTCTTGATGGGGTTTACCTTCTCATAGTCCCCACTGCAAGTAAGTCCTTTTCTATTGGTTGCTAGATAGATAGAATACACAGTTTATAGACTTCTGATGTTCTTAAATGGTTTAAAAGTTTAAACTTTTACGGAAACAATTCCTTGTTCTTCATTGTAATTTACTGTAGAATAATGGCACTAAATAAATAATCTCATAACTGCGTTGGCTTAAAATGTACATATGCATTACTAGTAGTAGCCTGGAAAGTTTGTGATGCTGTTTGGAATGTGTGACATAGCTTCATTTGTATGTTTTCAGGTATTAGATATGATGCGGAGAAGGAGGAAAAGCAGTTCCTGGAGGCTCGACAGAGGGAGCTGCAGAGGATTGAGGAGACCAAACTCAAGGCAGCTGAACAAGGTGAACATCCTGCTTTTATCTGCTCACACGCAAGAGTTTCACACAAATCGCCTATTTTTTATTCCAAAACAAGACAAAATCACAAGCGGCACAACTGATATAATAATTTACTGCATTTTTACTGTTTTTCTACAAAGCTTTGTCTGTCTCAGAATACATGCTGACCAGCAGTGGGAGAGAGTCAAAGAACACTTTCCTTTAGTCCACTACAATTTTTTTTTTTTTTTGCACAAACTGACTTTTCATTGAATTATTAATGAGGCAAATCTTTAACTTAATAATTACGTGTTTGTTTTCTCTCGGTCTGAATCATCTCTTTTGCATTATAGTTACTTATCATTGACCATCACTGGAAAAAAGTAATTTGCTATTTACAGTCTAAAATGAGACAAGAATAACTTTGTTCTCTGGTCTACTGCTGTGAAAATTAAACATGAAATGGTGTGTGATAGTGTGTGTCTCCTCATTTTTACACAGTTCAAATGCATTGTTTTGATATTGACATCAAAAGGAAAAGCAGCAGCAGTGTAGTTAGATTATGGTGGCTGTGGTTTCCTTTGTGATCTGATTTCACACTGGTCTGTTTTGTTTGTATTCCACTATAAAAGGAAACTCATCCAACTTATCTTGCACACTCCTCGGGCCAAACAGACAAGACCAGATGAGCCTGACACTGTAGTTAGAGAAGAATTTGAATTATTCACAGTGACGCTGTGTCATCTGATTGTAGTTTTGCTTTCTTTTTGCCGTCTTGAGGTCATGTTCCACAATAGCTACTACTATTACAGGAAGGACTGACAATATGGACAAATGAATCTCAATTTATTCTTTGACTTTTGAAAATGTTTGAAAATATGACTAAGTATATAAAATGAGTTATACAGTGTTGTAATGGGGGAGAAATGGAAATTGCTTGTGTAATTTACCACACTATTACAACTGGGAACTGGTGTCTGCGATAAACACAGGGTTTTTATTCACATAGATCTGCAAAAGGCTGCATATAGATATTGGCATTAAGAGTTTGTTTAGTCCAGGTCTTGTCCAGATTTGGTTTCTGGTTTGGTTCCAGTTTAGTCATACAAAGCATTGATTTTTTTGACCTTTACTATTCCCTGAACACAAGATATTTTCTAGAGGAACTTGTCTGCTTATACCCCATGCCACGTTACTTCTCCTTTGATATATTTGTGATAATTGTGTATTTTACAGAGAACCCTGTGCTGGAGAAACAGGACACGTTTGTGGAGAAACTGGTCACTCAGGTGATTAAGAACCTGCAGGTGAAGATCTCCAACATCCACGTCCGATATGAAGATGATGTAAGTCCATTATCGCTCGGTTTCATCTCTTTAAAGGAGACGTATTGTAGCGTCCAGTTGAGTGTATAGTTGAAGCCAGAACTGATGGTTAAAATGAATGAATGTTTATTTTGTCCTTCCATATATTCATATAACCAACGTAAGAGCTAGAACAGAAATGAAAATCAACTTACAATCATGTCCAAATACTATCTAGCATCAATTACATTGTAAACCGTTATATCACAATTACTATTATTTTACACAAAGAAACAATTGTTACACAAATAAAATCAATCCATACCTTGTTCCCTCTATCTCAACTGTTGCTAAACTTTGTTGTTGTTTCTTTTATACCATATTGGCTCTGTTTCCTCTTTAGACCATTGACTACTAGACCGTCTGTTTGTTTGTAACGTCCATACACTGTAACGTTTCTCCGTCTGATGTTGCGCGAGCCACTTGACTTCCGGTTGAGACAGGAAGCGTCAAAATAAAACATTTTCTATCAATAATAAAACATCAACCTTTACACGTATTATGCACAATTGTTTCATCTCTGTCCCCGCTGATATCAGGAACCTCCAACAAAAACACCCCTTCTGTCTAAATGCTCCTGTCTCAAAGCTGGTACACTATGAACCATTCTTATGAGGCGTTCAGACCACTGACGCTGCACATTTAAGCTCCTGTTTTGGCTGTATTTTCAGTATTTTCAGTATTTTCAGTCTGCTCGCTTGACCGCTAATGTTCCCGTGACCACTTTGCGGCTCTCTGATTGGTCACTGCATGTGCGTCTTGAGGAAAAGTTCAGCAATGTTTATCTCCTGCGTGCGTCAATTTTCCGCTCCAGCGCCTCTCTACCGCACGTCTCTACGGGACGCGCATACAGTTCCACGCTCGAAAGAACGTCACCATTGCCCCATTGACTTTGCATTGAAAGTCGCTGCAACAATTATGGTATTGCGTCAGGTTCACAGCTGAAGTATTGCCTCTAAATTAGTTTGAGCAATTTATCTGAGAAAATTACCTCTTGGTTGTTTTTGCTTCTTGTAATGTTTGATTTGGAAAAATAATTTAAAAAAAAGTTCACCACCACCATTTATTGTCTGCTTTGCTAAAGTATTTCTCATTCTAATCCAAGACACTTCCAGAGTACATTTTTTTTTTTAAATTTTAAGGGTCTTTAATAATAGATTTTTAAAAAGTATTTGTTGTTATTTTCTGCATATACTATTCACTTTTGTAAACTATAGTGCTAAAATTAAAGTTGGTCCTAACTGTTTCCCAGGTCACAAACCCAAACTGCCCTTTGTCTTTTGGAGTATCGTTGGAAAACCTCAGTCTTCAGGTAATACTGTCTTATTATTTTTTTTGACTGATATTGTTTTTATACTATGCACAAACCCTCTTGTTTTTGCTGCACGTTAATTCTCTCCCTGACAGACGGCGGATCAAAACTGGCGACCCACCGTACTAGACGAGAAGGCAAAGCTGTTTTTCAAGGTATAAAATATTCTCTGTAAGTTTGAAAGAAAAGAAGAGGGCATTTTTTGGAGGAAACATGCGAAAGCATGTGATTAAAGACTTGTTTGTAACAACATATCTGCTTTGTTCTGAGAAAGAAATGAACTAATTCCAATGTCACTTTTGTTCTGATTTGCAGCTGGTTAAGCTTGACAATCTCTTTGCCTACTGGAATATCAACTCAGTTCTATTCTCCAATCACCATTCAGAAGAAGCCTTGGTAAATCATTTCATATCAAATGTTTGTTTTATGAAATGTAATTTCACTTCAAATATTGTTTTTGTTTTTTTTATAGCGATGTCTTAAAAGCAGCATGAAAAGTAACAACAAGCATCCTGTCACCCATGATTTCAGTAAGTGTTTTTGCAAATTTTACTTTTTTCATGCATAATGCTAGCATTTTGTCCTAAGTTAAAAGCAATTTCCTTCCCTATGACATCTTATGCTTATTGTGCTCATGCATGTAGTACAGGGGTGCTCAATACGTCGATCGCGATCTACCAGTCGATCGCAAAGGTAGTATTGGTAGATCGCATTAAATAAATAAAAAATTACACATTCTAAACAAATATATACAAAAAACTCCGGGCAAAGTGGAGATTTTTGAAAACTCCGTTAATGCATTTGTGTGTAGACAGAGATAACCAGAGTTTTGTGTTCTCGCACGCCACAGTACCCCCCTAAATTCCTCTGATCACTGAAGCATGGATCATACTACCTTAAAAACTGTTGGCTGTGAGATGCTCGCAGCAGCGAACATCCTCCACATCAGAGAGCAGAAAAGTGATCGCGGGGACTCACGCTCGAAAACAACCAAACCAGGACTAAACCAGGACTAAACCAGGGCTGAGGACGGGGTCAGTGCTTGTAAACATACGTCTTTACTCTGAGTGTCTTCTATGACTGTAAAAGTGCCGTTACCGGCATCTGCATCAAAGCTCCGCCCACTTCTGTGTTTTTCCCCAACGCAGGACAGGACGTAAGAAACACACATGTTTGGAATGTTACAAATGTGATTGATAACGCAGATGTGTGGATGCAAATTATTTTATAAAACTGAGGAGGGAAATATTTGGATTTAAAAAAAACAGGCATGGCACATGGACATGGCACCACAGTCAAATGACATCTGTGTTTTACTCAGTAATGTTTTACTGACACTTAGGTGACTGCACATGCGCAAACAACGCGCTCAGTGCAGGAAAGCTAAACCACGACAAACTTGTCAGCGAGTTACCACCAATTTTCCGGACTATGCATCCCTGGCCGATTCAATTCAGTGCTAGTCATAAGAGTAAACTCGGGTAATGACAAATTTACATAGGTAATTGTGTTGTGTTGTGCTATATTGGCTCATGCGGTTTTGCATGTACATAAACATACATTGTAGATATAAAGAATATTTTTTGAAATATATGATTTGCATTTTTGTAGTAGGTAGATCCTTTTGACTTGATCCTTTTATAAGTAGCTCGCATGCTGAAAAAGTGTGAGCACCCCTGATGTAGTATATTATACTTTATATATCCTTTTACTTTTTAGAAATATAAATACATTTTTACAAAGAAAGACGAGAAGGATCTTGATCACAATATTGTTATAAGCTCCTAAAAGATGACACGGTGGCACAGAGGTTAGCACTTATGGTTTCCTGCAAGAGGAAGGGGCCTTTCTGTCTGGAGTTTGCATGTTCTCCCCGTGTTTGCGTATTTTTCCTCCAAATGCTCCGGTTCCCCCTAACACTAAAAACATGTACAATAGGTATGAATGCAATAACGTCGGGGACTTTGATGCGCCCAAGTGTTTCTGTTTTTGGCTCCTGTCATCATTGTGTGTGGAGTGAATGGAAATTACTGGTAATTTCCATTCACTGTGGGTGTCTTGATCCTGTCAGGGACAGGCTTCATTTGGAGGCAGTTTGAGCAGTAAATGTGTCTCTAGAGCTGATAGAGACCATGTGGAGGGTCAGGGCAGCAGACCAGCAGTGCACCCCAAAAAAGCCACACAAAAGTGGGCTATCGCTAAAACTCTCACTGAGCCTGCACCAGGAACCATCGGCAAAGTCCAGTTATCGTCACAGCGCTCGCTGGACTAAACAGAACGACACTCTGTAGATGCAAACACACAAAGACACACAACAGTATTCTATTGCACTTATAGTATAGGTATATCGTCTGTTCACTTTGATTTATTTTCATTTATAGTGTTTATCATTGTAATGTTGTTATTCTGTGATTTATTTTCCATCCATCCATTTTCTTCCCTTTAATCCATTTCTGGGTCAGGGGGGTGGCAGTCAGAGAGACCACCCAAGTCTCATAGCACCAGCCCCTCACTGACCCTCTGCAGGTGGTGAGTCCACAGGAGATGTGATTTATTTTTGATTTATTTATTTGATCGGGACAACACACATTAATGAACAATCATATACGAGCTGTACACAAATTGTAAATGTGCCAGATTGTAGCAAAACTGCTAATTTACATCCGTAGTCCCGAGGCAGGTCACACAACAATAATAATACAAAAGGACAATATACAATTATAGAAATTACAGTTAGTTGAAATGAGTGCAGGACTGATTTACTTTAAAATGATGTTTTAGTTGATTTTTAAAAGAGCTGTATGTTGGGCATTCTCTTTAGTCTGTAGGAAGGTTGTTCCAACACTGACCTCCTCTGACTGACAGCACAGTTTGTCCAAATGTAGTTTTTTATGTGTGGGATCTCCACATCTCCTCTGGAGGACACTCGGGTGCGGAGACCTGTCACTGCTCTAGCTTTAATGTAGTTTGAGAGTGGGGGCGGGGCAAGACCATGAAGTGCTTTGTAAATAAGGCAACAGTTTTTAAAATTAATAAAGTGTTGAAAATTGAGCATTTTGTGTTTCTCCAGGATATTGCAGTGATGATGTGACCAAGGCTTTTGATCCAGAATTTTAATGGACTTTTTGAAGAGGGTTTCTATGGATTTTATATGTGTTTGTCCAGTGAGTGACCAGGTTGTGAATCCAGAGTGACCCCGAGAAACTTGAACTCCTCAACAAGGTCAAGCTCAGAGTCTCCAAGGAACACGTTGGACCGACCCAGTTTAATAGATTTTTTTGACACGGTTTTCTTTTTATTTAATAGTAAAGATGAGCTGGTGAGCCACTGCTGTATGTCTACCAGGGCTGCTGTGAGAGTAGATTATGCCTCCGCAGTTTACTCTTATTGACATAAATATAGCGCCACCTAATGGATGAATACTGTCCATTCTTCCTGGCATAGTTTGTCATGGGGCTCTACTTTCAATATGTAAATGTTGACGTTTTTTGAGTACTTTTTGAAATATTTGAGCAAAACTTTCTGGATGTGGGTGTGTGTGCTATAAAACATATTATTTTGCATAAAAATCACTTTCTCATAACTTTTTGTTTCTGTTTTCTAACATATAAGATCCTGGACATGTTTGAGGAGACACTAAAGTTAAACTAAATAGTGTTGAAATCACTTTTCTGCAGGTTTGTCTGCTTTCACAAACACCTCATTTTCTCAGCTTTTTGTCTAAGACTGGTGCTTTTTGTCACACTCCCCTCTTTTCGAGTGGAGATCACAGAGAACGAAACAAGCTAAAAACAAACTTCTTTTTGCTGCTGAAAGTAGACAGTGCAGTCTTTTATAATCATAGCACACAATATTCTGTGTGTCTTGAAAATCAGTAAAGTCATCAAAAATGGCTGGCAGTCAATGATTTAAATAAAAACATATATTCTCTGTTTTTCAGTTTTCCGGCCAATCTCGGCTGATGCCAAACTGAAGATGAACCCCAGGTCAGATGTGGACTTCTCCTCTCCTAAAGTGGACCTTATGGTGAATCTGAGGGAGGTGGCGATCGAACTCAACAGACCTCAGGTGAAACAACATTGCTGTGCAAATAAAAGATTTAAATCACAATCATGTTGTATGCCAGTTAAACAAACTATTATCAAACAGTTAAAATATTCTGACCAATTAGCTTGAAACAAGTTACGCTTCCAATTGAGGGTTTTTGTTTTATCTTACCTTATTGGCAAAACATTTTCCTGTAAAAAATGATCAGAATCTTTTGAAACCAAGTTCAAGTGAAAAAATGCTAAACTAAAATGAAATAAAAAATGTTGTTTTTCATTAATCTAAAAATATTTGTTTCAATTTAGTTTAGGTGTTGTAATTCAAGTAGTTCAATTTAACCTTAACAAGTGCCCTGTTTTTCTGTGACAGTACGTCAGTATCCTGGAGCTGCTGGCATCTGTGGATATGATGTCCAGAAATCTGCCCTTCAGGAAGTACAGGCCGGTTGTTCAGGTCCATCGCAACGCCAGAGTGTGGTAAGTGCGTCGTCGAGTGTGTGAAGTGATTACAGATCATGAGTTATGCGTTGATGTGCTATGGGAATGTCTTTAAATACTACTTACTCAAGGAAATATCAAGTTTTGGTCATGCAGTATTTACAATAATCAATTTAATTGCAGTGCGTTTGTACATTTGTATTATCCAAAAACAGGTTTAGCTTCTGCAACAGAGTCTTTGTGAATATTAGGTCCAAAAAGACCCAATATTCACAAAGAACTCACCTGCTAAAGACTCCACTGACGTAATAATTGCTTGAATTGAGTGGCTTTGATCTTAAAATTTGAGTTCATTTTGAACCTTTTGTAAACAAGATTTGCCAATGGGATAAAGCCATTTTGTCTTATTTCAAGAACTGTTGCTTTATTTTCTCATTCCATGGAAGACATTTCTTGTATCTCTTTAAAACAACATTATTTTGCTTCTCCCATTTGGCAAATTCTGTTTTAGGGCAGTCAAAATGTGCTCAAATTAAGATAAATTTTACCAAATTTGGACAAGTTTAGTTTTATGCTGAACAAAGGTCACCGTTGATTTGAATCTGTTGTAATATTATATTCTTGTTTTTAAGGTGGACGTACGTACTTACCAGTATCCTGGAGGTCGACGTGAAGCCCCGCCTCCACATGTGGTCCTGGTCTCGGATTCGCAGACACAGAATTATGGTCAAAAGGTACAAAGACTTGTACAAAGATAAGATCACATCCAAGAAGCCCAGTGAAGAGCTGTTAAAGAAACTGCAGGTAAGGATTTTAGGAAAGCTTCTCATTCATTCTTTCAATTTGTGTTTTTCATTTACAGTAGAATCAATTTTCAGTTCAAAACATGACAGAAAAGTGAACTAGCAATTAATAAAAGATTGTGTTTAGGGCTATCAAACGATTAACATTTTTAATCGAGTTAATTACAGCTTAAAAATTAATTAATCGTATTAATCGCATTTCAAACTATTGACAAAATGCCATATTTTTCTGTAAATGGTTGTTTGAATGGAAAGATAAATGACAACATAGTGTACACTAGGGGTGGGAACCTCGGGCTACCTCACGATACGATACGCAATCCAAAGCTCACAATAACGATTCCATCATGATAACGATTATATCACGATATATTAATCAGAAATATACCATATGCCAATATATGGCATAAAATAGAAAAAATATTAAGTGAAAAAATACACTTATATACGCCGTTCGCAGCCGCTGGAGGTGGGAACTGCTGTCCGCAGGTGCAGTCCTGGGACTCTTGACAGCTGGAACTCGTGGAGACCCCTTTGTCTGTCAGTCCTGTCTATTGAAGATTCGGAAGACGTATATATCTTTGGAATTTTGGTGGGGGGGATCCTCCTTTTCGGGTTTGGAGCGGTCCTTTTCTACCGCAAATTCGGAGGCATGGCGGTTCGCAAGATTCACGAGCTGCTGGCCAACGAAATTGATGGGATGTACAAGGAGTTAAGCCGTGTTGTGGTTGAGAGTGCCGTGTCTGGACAAAGGAGAGTTGTGCTAGTGGAACAGTTGATAAAAGACCTCGCAACACGTTCACTCGAAGGGCATAAGACACTGGAGATGAGGCTGAATGACATTGTTTGCCAGGCTTGAACTCTCTGACCCGGCATGGATTTGCCCCTGTGTACGGAGGTCTGAGGGCAACGCAATTCGGTTTAATTGGATTTAATAGAATATCTGCCTCATCCCCCCCCTCACCTAGCCCCCTCTGACGGCCCACATTGGCGAACGGGCGGCCGGAGTTTACTTCCACAATAAAAATGTCTGTGTTTTAGCCAAAACATAATGTGTCTTATCCAAACTGTCTTGTGATATGTATGTTACTGCTCTCTGCTGTGTATTCTACTGTTTGTTGCATGGCAACCGTGTGGCAATAGCTCTGGTATGTGCCCCCTCTGCCTGGTGCACACTGGGGTAGTCTTGCACAGTTTTTCCAATGTGGTTTTACTGGCAAATATTTAATAGAAAATAAATTAATCTGAATCTGAGAGCGGCCGCAGCTCAGCTCGCAGAGTTCATACAGGAAACGCGTGTATCCTTTTAAAACATGAATTCCCAGAGACCTGCTCTGTTGCCATCTCACACACACGTGTCTGTGGCATTCCGAGTGTTATTATGGGATGCATGGGCATGCGTTAATTGCGTTAATTTTTTTAATGCGATTAATGATTTTTTTTATTAACGTGCGTTAACACAATAATTTTGACAGCCCTAATTGTGTTGTTTACTTTGACAATTATGCCAGTAAGATTTGTCTTTATGATGTGATTAAGCGGTGGTACATAACATTAGAGTACATTTGAAAGGGTTATAAACACAAATCAATGGTTTGTTCCAGGAGCCGGAGAAGACGCTGGATATTTTTAACATCACATTAGCAAGACAGCAAGCTGAGGTGGAGGTGAGGCATTCTCACGTCAACACACGTTTAAAGATTGCTTTATATTCAAGACTGGCTTGCGGTTTTAGTGAAGACGCTGATTGTTACATTATTCAGGTCACGATATTATCTAAATTTAGGGATGAAAATATGTGACATGACACTAGATTGGTTTTTGTCTAAAAGTGTCAATGATGAGTCCAAATGCAAGTCAGCACGACTTTTATTTCATGTGATTTTTGTTAAGATTTGTTTAGGCACATATCAGAATCAGAATCAGAATCAGAATCATTTTTATTGCCAACGTAAGTAACGGGAGGTCACAGACTTGGAAATTGCTTTGGCTCAGTGCAACAGTCAAAAAGAGATAATAAAAATAAGAATAAAAAACACTTCTAAAGAATAAATTTAAATTTAAAATAGAGTTACAGTTACTATTTACAATATACAAGTGCACATGGTGCACACAATGTAAGGTGACAGCAGTACAGTGAAGTAAAGTGACGTATGATGGGCAGTAAAGTGACTTTATAAAGGGCGGGGGGACAGGTTAAGAAGTGTTCAAGAGTCCAACAGCAGAGGGGAAGAAACTGTTCTTGTGGCGGGAGGTTCTAGTCCTGATGGACCGCAGCCTCCTGCCTGAGGGGAGTGGTTGGAATAGTCCATGTGCAGGGTGAGAGGGGTCGGCTGTGATACGACCAGCCCGGCCTCGAGCTCGGGCGACGTACAGGTCCTGCAGCGATGGAAGGCTGCGGCCGATCACTTCCTCTGCAGAGCGCACAATGCGCTGTAGTCTCTGTTTGTCCCTGACTGTGGCTCCAGCGAACCACACGGTGATGGAGGAGGTGAGGATGGACTCGATGATGGCCGTGTAGAACTGCACCAACATCTGTGCAGGCAGCTTGGCTTTCCTGAGCTGCCGCAGGAAGTACATCCTCTGCTGGGCCTTCTTGATGAGGGAGCTGATGGTCGGCTCCCACTTGAGGTCCTGGGTGATGGTGGTGCCCAGGAAACGGAAGGACTCCACAGAGGTGATGGGGGAGTCCATCACGGAGGGTGGGGGCGGGGGGACAGTGCTCTTCCTGAAGTCCACAATCATCTCCACTGTCTTCTGGGCGTTCAGCTCCAGGTTGTTACCACTGCACCAGGACACCAGCCGGTCCACCTCCCTCCTGTAGGCGGACTCATCGTTGTTGGAGATGAGTCCAATGAGGGTGGTGTCGTCCGCGAACTTGATCAGCTTCACGGAGTCGTGGCTGGAGGTGCAGTGGTTGGTGTACAGGGAGAAGAGCAGGGGAGAAAGAACACAGCCCTGTGGGGCTCCTGTATTTATAATCCGAGAGTCCGAGACATTCTTCCCCAGACGCACTCGCTGCTTCCTGTCCGTCAGGAAGTCAGTGATCCACCTGCAGGTGGAATCGGGCACGTTGAGCTGGGAGAGCTTGTCCTGGAGCAGGGATGGCAGGATTGTGTTGAAGGCAGAGCTGAAGTCCACGAACAGGACCCTGGCGTAGGTCCCCGGGGAGTCCAGGTGCTGTAGGATGTGGTGGAGGGCCAGGTTAATGGCGTCGTCTACAGATCTGTTGGCTCTGTAGGCGAACGTATATAATATATAAAGCAAGTAGGACTGCGGCACAGCTATTGTGTATTCTGCCAGCCTATTCTTAAGACTGTCCAAATGTTTCTGTTTCTGTAGGCGAGTAAAGCCGGCTTGAAGATCTACCGTCCAGGGCTAAAGATGGAGGAGGAGGAGAACCAGGGCTGGCTCGGCTGGATGTGGAACTGGGGTGGACAGGCTGAGAATGAAGTCAAGAAGGTCAAAAGTGGAGGTGGAGGTAGGATCAGAATTTAGTCAGATTCACACTCACACTGCAGACCTGCTCCCACATTTAAACATGAGCTTAAGCTGAAGCCTCCGACATAAAGACCTGTGTACTCTGAGCAGAAAGCTGCCCAATGCGATCAAATAAATGTATAAAACGTGTTGAGCAATGTGTCGCTTAAACGCTTGCACTCACTAGATGCCAAGTCATTGTTACAGATATATTGATACGCCACACACAGAATATCCTGCTCCATTGAATTCAGTGGTTTTAGGGTTGTGTGCAGCAAAGCTACTTAGTTCCTAGTAGTTGGAAAAAAGACAAGTAGCCTAATAAAAGTTTGATTGTACATAGATAAATAATTTTGTTTTTGACTCAAACCCTACAGCCAAATGTACAGTCATCAAAGCACCTGTAGATTTGTACACACATGCTTCAAATCTGGGGGGCAGGCTGTCCCTAGCTGTAGTTGGACACAAATCGCTATTTGTAATTGCAATGATTCATGACAATGTGCGCTTGAGGTGATAATATTTCTCTAAAATATTTTTCTTCTCAGGTTTTGATGAGCTGCTGACCACTGCTGAAAAGGCCAAACTATACACTGCCATTGGTTACAGTGAAACCGCTGCCAACCCAAACCTGCCCAAAGATGTGAGCTCATTTCACCTGTGTTATGTACCACTGTATCCTCCACACACTCATGTGAAACCTTCTTGACTTGCAGTTTGAAGATATGATCGTGAACTTCCACATGGAGAAACTGTCGTTGTCCATCAAAGACGACAAAGACAAGAATGAGATCATCCGTTTGACTGTGGGGGAGCTGCTGTCCATGCTGACGCAGAGATCGGGCGCTCAGGCCATAAAGTGCGTTCTCAGGCTCAACAAGTCTCACTGCTTTGAGTGAAAACTTTAAGGAAACAGGAGAAAAGTCAACTGCAGACTGTTGTTGGACTCATATTTGTCATGAGATTAACTCTGTGAACTGATTCGGTTTGCTTAAAGCACAAACATTGGTCTTTGTCTGAGTGAACAAACATGAGTTGGTCTTGGTCTGAATGAAGACATTTTTCAAAAAACATGATGTAATAACATAACCTCTCCTGTGTTGCCAGACTCACAGCTCAGCTGACCTTGTTTGAGGTAACTGGTTTTGCCGATCAGCACATATCTCCCACGCTGCTGTCCTCGAGGAAAGCTGCGATGGCGGCAGAAACTCCTTTGCTTAACTTCCTATTTGAGACAAACCCTCTGGACCAGAGCGCAAACCAGAGACTCTATGTGGACTCGCAGCCTCTGGAGATCATCTACGATGCTGTGAGTGACCAGGCTTCACACATGTGATCTGCAAACTCGTAATGTTCACGAGTTTGAAACAAAAACAAACAGCTCTGTATAACATTTGTTACATCCACTGATATTTTCATTCATAAAAACATGTTTAAAACCTCAAAATTTGTAAATGATTTCTGTAACATTTAAATACCAATTGAAAATTCAAATGTAGGTCTTATTGTGGTAGATCAGTCTTCAGTGCGTGGTGGATCACATACTGTAGACTGATTAGCCCAGAACCTTCTGACTTGTATGATTTCATTATTATTACACTGAATCTATTTGAATGTTATGACTTGTTTATGTCGGTTTCCTGTAGACTACAGTGAACAAGATGGCAGCGTTCTTCAGAACTCCAGAGGGACTGGAGTTAGATGAACTCACAAACGCAACACTGATGAAGCTGGAGCAGTTCAGAGACCGCACTGCCACTGGTCAGTTTTCTATAAACACAGACCGTGACTGAGGATAAAGGGCACTGGACATTTAGATCACCAAAGTAGCTTAAGTAATATTCTTCTACAGAAAAGTCACACTTCACTGTAATAGAAGGAATTCTCACTAAACTCACTCATTTGAGAGTCGAGCTGCATTAAACAGAAATAAGTGAATAACGATGTGACGACTTCCCCTAAAAAGCATATTGTTTTAGGACATTACTTATGAATAGATTTTTACTGCCATAATGCCCCAACCCTACGAGATCTAGATCTAAGTAAACGGTTGTTGGTGTTCTGCTCTGTCTTGTAGGTCTGATGTATGTGATCGAGACTCAGAAAACACTGGACCTGAAGGTGAACCTCATGGCCTCATACGTCATTATCCCTCAGACCGGTTACTATGACAACACCCAGAACATCTTGCTACTCGACCTGGGCCACTTTAAGGTACGTGAAAAAAAAATCAGATTGTTTTTAATGTGTAAAGTGCATGCCAGTTCACAGGAGAAAAACGATACATTCTCATTCAGTGTTGTAAGGTGCACAGTATGTGTTTAAGTCCCATTATCATTCAAATGCAGGTCTGTTCTCATTATTTATTTTTGGTCGGTTTTGCCATTTAATCATTAGTTTAAAGCAAGGTTCTCAAACCTATAGTTTGGTAGATAACAGTAGCTCACCACCCCCTTTCAAGTAGCTTCCCAACGGATTTATAAATTACAAAAAATCTGCTGATTCATATGCTTAGTGGGCCAATGCCTATAGTTATTGTTAATGCATACTTAACTTTGACTTTTGTTCGGTATTAAATTGATAGTAGATGTTTTATGGGCATTTATATACATCCAATCCCAGGCTCGCTATTGTATAAACTTATTTTTCCTGAGAAAGTAGCTCTTTCTGGGAAAAACGTTGGCGCTCACTGGTTTGAATATTTACACGATATCTTTCATGATGTCTTTGTGGAATAACTGAGATTCATGGATTCTCAAAAGAACCCGTTTTTAAAGATTCACTTATAGGTGTTTCTATGATTTTTCCAGATGTTGAGTCAGAGCAAAAAGCACTTACCACAGCTCTCCGTCACTGGCAGCAACATTGAAGACATCATGTCCAGAGCCTATGACAGTTTTGACATCCAGCTCAGCAACCTACAATTTCTCTACAGCAAACCAGGTATCTGTATGATTATATATACATCTATAAAACCATCATAACTTAGAATGTGCATGAATTATTCTGCTTGAAACAGTTTTTGTAGCATATTTTAGAAGATTAATTATAGCCATCTAAAACGATAATGGGGAAAAAAAAACCATATTTGTCAGGTTTTTAGGTAAAATCCCATATTGTGTTATTTCAGATGAGGACTGGAAAAAGGCTCGTAAGCAGAAGGAGTCTGATCTACAAATCCTGGAGCCAGTGGATCTGAAAGTGGTGTTCAGCCGTGCTATGGTGGTCACAGACTCACGGATGGCAAAGTAAGTCGAGATCGTCACTCCAGCAATGAAAAGTTCCATAGGTATTGTGTAGCAGTAACTTATTTCAGTTATTGCAAAGATTTGTATGTTTTAATAGTTTAGCTGTTATTATATCAGACTATTATTTCAAGAAGTTGTTCCTGTAATAAGTTTTTTTATTTGCAGATATAAACTGTCTGGAGAGCTGCCGCGCCTGTCTCTACGCATTTCTGACAACAAACTGCGCAGCGTGTTGGAGCTGGTGGACAGCATCCCTCTGCCGGAGGCTCCAGCTGCTGCTCAGCCTCACCCGCCTCGCATCAACGTACGGCAAGGCTCCATCAAGGTACAGATCCCAAATCTATGACATATCATCATACTGTAATTGGGCCATAGAAGGAAACGCATTACATTGACTGAATAATATTTACAGCTGGATAAGAAAAACATGGCAATCGAAAACAATCCTTTGGTCCAACATAATAAAAAAATATATATATATAAAAAATGAATGACCAGAAGCAAGGGATGAGCTATAAACAAACTTTCCACTAACAAAACAATTTAGACCATATAAGAGCAAAGAAGGATTTTTCTGTATGTGGCCCTTCACAATATTATTTTGACCCCCCTGGTGGTATGCAATAAGTGGGTAGAGACATCTTTTACATGACTACATCTCTGTAGCTTGATTTATGTGTATGTTGGGTGTTTTAGATTACATTTGCGTTTGAGGTATAAATGATCTTGAGTTGGAATGAGAGATATGTCTTTGTGCCTGTTTGTGTCTCTGTTTCTTATCTGGGTCCATGCTCTGGGGTCTACAGCACAAGTCGTTCACCCCCCAGCTGAGCCGCAGACGCCCCATCAGTCTGATAGAAAACCGCAGCTCGATCCTCTTTGAATCATGTGAAACCATTACCAGCCTCACCTCACTGGGTAAGATACATGCAACACGTTCTAATGCATCTGCACTTGGATAATCAAGGTTATTTCTATAGCACACTTTGCATACAAAAGGGATTCATTGCGCTTTACATAACCGGGTCACAGCTGATAGTTTTTATTATCTGCTATAAAATAATTACTACAGAAACTGTAAAACAGAACAGTTTTACACTGGGCTTGAACATTGTCACTTTATTTGGAAACGGTTCCAGGTTTTAGCTGCATGTTTAGTCCTGACTCTGGGTACCTGCAGGAGGTCAGTCCCTGTGCTGCTCAGGACTACAGAGGAAATTAAGCTTATGTGCTGACTTTTGCATATTGATAACTAACAGGCTCTGAAGAGGACTTATTCTTTGATGCGCCCTCATCACCACTGGAGGACAAACCCTTTTTCCCAGATAATCCCTTGCCTCTGCGCTCCATCAAGAGAACTTGTTCAGATGATGTCAAGAAAAACATGACCGACCTCATACTCAACTTTGAAATTGCAGAGGTACGCAAATTAAATATTTTGTGTTCAAGGTGATGACGTACAATGTTTCAAATTGTGTAAGAAGGGTTTTATATGTAGTCTTTCTTTAACTGATCTACCAACAGCTCTAATACTAGTTTACATAGAACTGTGCTGGTTGTATTTCTTTTCTGCAGTATGCTGATGTGTGTTTTTGTGTTTTGCACCAGTTTTCTGTAGAGCTCTGCAGACTCTCTGACGGCAAGGAGATCACTGTGCTCTTACTGGAAATCGAGGGATTGGGCACCGAACTGAAGCTCCGTACTTTTGACATGACGTCCAACACCTACCTGAAGGAGATCTGCCTCAAGTGTCCCGAGTACATGGGTCAGTTTGTTTAAGAGATGTTTTAAACTTGTACAATAAAGTATTCTTCGTCTGTAAAGGGTCTCGTATGTTATCTCAAAACTGTGGTTTGAGTTTTATACAAATGTGTTTTTCCCGTAGACTCTGAGGCCAAAGAGGTTCAGCTCATTACCACAAGGGACAACAGTGAAGTGGACCTGCTCACGCTGGAGTATGTCAAGGTCTGAGTTAGCGATGTACCAGTATTTTACAGTTCATGTGGTTTCTGAGAATTTGAAAGTTCTTTTTGTCTTCTTTTTTTCAGGCGGATAAAGCCGGCCCTGAGTTCAAGACTCTTCACGGAAACACAGAGCAGTTGATCAAGGTGAATAAAAGTGTGTTTAGAAGATAATCTCTCTAAAGCTACTGGAGGTGTAAATGAAACTATATTCATTCTAATTTTAGTGAATGTTGTAATTATTTAGACAAAGCTACGAGACCATGTCATCAAAAACAGCTAAACACCTCTCTTTGGAGTCTGTACATTTACAAATAAAGAGGCTTGAGATGCTTGTCTGCATGCATGACTTAATTTCCAAATAAATACATTTGTCCTGCCCTATGCTGGCACAAAAATGTGTTCAGTGTATAAAAAATAACTTGTTTCCCAGGTCACCTTCTCCTCCCTCGATGTCCATCTCCACACTGAGGCTCTTTTGAACACCATGAACTTCTTGGAAAAACTCCTGCCCGCAAAACCCCCCGAGCCAAAAGACACGGCCCCAGATGAGCTGCCCACCATCCCAGAAGAGGAAGAGAGTGAAGGGGAAAAGGACAACGAGAAGAAAGAGGACAGTGTAGTCCCAGCAAAACCCAGTATGTTCCATTGTGTATTAAATGTGGGAACTTGGGAAAAGGATCAACACAGAGACAATGAAAATACTGAATCTGACTGGATGCGATATGGGGACAAGATTTTCAATCCTTATTGAGTGATTTAAATCTTAGATTCAATATTTTTTTCAACTTGGAAAAAAAGCAAAACAACAAAACAAAGTGTCCTTTTATGCTGCTCTTTTGAGAGAACAGGATGCCAGGATCAAGACACTCGCTATTTCTCATCTCAAACCAATAACATCAGAGAAATCCACATTTAAAGTTAGCTAAAACCTGTAATTTTTCATTAGCGACTTGAAACATAAAAGTTCACTCGTCTAATACTAGTTTAGAAAAAAAGCCTTGTAGGTGAATAAAATAAGTAAATTCAGCCAAAGAATAAATAAATCAGATATTGTGTATGAATTAATTTCCCAACAGTGAAATGGTTTTGAGTAACAATGTTTGTGTTTGTAGCTGGCAAGAGCTCAAAGTTTGCAGTCATCGTGAACTTGCACATCAGAGCCGACCTCCGCTGCCTCAAAGTCTTCATTCGTGGACAGAAAGCCAGGATCTCAGAAATCAGCATTGAAGGTGATTGTGTAATCTCTCCCAACTGTGTGCTCGAAATTTCTGCTCTCTTGATGTGATAGGAATACACAGCCCGTAGCAGTTAATCAGTCGGTTAACTACCAACATACCCCTCAAGAGCGAGGGGGGGTGTAACCTATCCAATTATTATAGTAGATCCAAGCGTGTTTGTGAAGGACTGTAACACCATCAGATTTAATTATTGTTATAAATGTATTTCTCAAGCCATTTAAAAGTTGTATACTGCGGCATTAACCAAGTGGATAATAACCGTATATTTTTAACTCTTTTGGTCTTTTTTTACAGGTCTGGTTGCTGAGGTGTTGATGAAGAAGAAGGAGATGGAAGTTATGGCTAATTTAAAGAACATCATCATTCTTGACTGTGACAAAGATGCGCTGTACAAAAAGGTTGGTCTCATCATGAATAAAGCTTATTTCCAAATGTATTTACTTTAGTTCATTTATTTATTTATTTGATGGGGACAATGCACATTAATGAACATCAATATAAAACAAATGTAAATATGCCGGATTATAGCTAGCCAGCTAGTTTTCATCCGTAGTCCCTAGACGGGAAAATACAGAAATGATAACATACAATACAGTAAAATATAAAAAGTACAGGGAAAAGTGAAGAGGGAAGAGTCTAGTGGTCGCATGACTGGTTTCTTTTCAGCCATTGTTTGATTTGAGTTTTAAAGATGACCAGTGTAGGGCTCTCCCGTAAGGGCAGAGGGAGACTGTTCCAGATGTTCATGGCTCGAGAGAGAGCCTTCAGAGAAAAGGCAGTTTTTCTGAAGGGGACCTCAGTCTTCTCTGGAGGAGGCCCAAGATCTCAAACCTTAGTTGTCAGAAATCAGGCTTACAATGTATTCCAGATATTTGTTTAATGTTTTCTTCTTGAATGTGTTGTTCCAGGCTGTGTCCATCGCTGACAAAGAGGTGTTTAGATTCCGCATGGTGAACTACACTTGTGCCACTCAAGGAGAAGCCTACATGGACATGGCTAAAGTAGACACCAGCATAAATCTCACTGTGGGCTGCATCCAAGTCATCTTCCTCAACAAGTTCCTCTCCTCCGTACTGGTGCGTACAGCAACCTTAGTCTATTGTTCTATTGCCTTCAAACATTTACAGTATTTACTTGTTTGTATTTAATGTTATTAAAATGTGAAATAGTTTATATTATAATAGTTTTTAGTACTTAACCCAACTCGATGTTATGGGTAAGTTTACCACCACTACACGTGATGTTGACATTGTTTCAATCATATTGTACAGTGTTGTACGGATCTGGATTAATTATATCTTCTTGGCACTCTCCCAAAGCAATTGGACATTTCCACATCATGCCACTAGAGAACAATTTGAGAATACTTTCTTTGTATTTTCATGTTTTAGATCGTGGAATAATTTCTTCTTTAAGTAGACAATCTTTGGATACAAAAGAATGATGTTCTAATGATGATCTAGCCTGGTCTTACCACGCCATAGTATTAATTACATTTCGTACTAAGGTCTGGAGGTGCTCCATTGAGCTCCATTAACAGGTGGGAGGGGTTAACTCCTTTTGCAGATTGAAACGATTGGATCTGAGTTTACCGTCACATATGTAATGCGCCCGAGTGAGTTGTTAGTATTTAGCATTTAGCCTAGCCATCTCCTTTGCCGCTAACGGAGCCCGTGAGGAGTGGCGCCACAATCTTTGCCAGCAATTACATTTGGTCATCTAAACCACAAACTGGACTGGACTGGACTCATAACACAAACGCCCTCTTCAAGAAGGGCCAGAACCAACTCTAACTGCTGAGGAGGCTCAAGTCTTGGAGTGCAGGGGCCACTCCTAAAGACCATCTATGACTCTGTGGTGGCATCAGCCTCTTGTACGATGTGGTCTGCTGTAGCAGCAGCATCACAGAGAGGGACAGGAAGTCCAGCTCTGTCCTGGGCTGAAAAGGGGGGGAAAAGGAGGGTCCTGGACATACTACACCAGGATACTCTGGCTGCTCTGGAGAGCAGCTTCAATGACAGGCAAAATTATCCTCGCTATGTGAAGGAGAGGTTTCGCAGGTCTTTCCTTCCTCAACTGCTGCTGTCAGGCTGTACAATGAGAATGTGTAACAAGAACTGCTGAGTCTATGCAAGTGTCACTGATAATTTACTAGTAACTTTGACTCTATTCACTTCACCTGCTAACATTATTACTGCATTATCCATCCATCTGATACTTCTGCCATTCGCTAGTCACTTTACCTGTTGATATTATTACTGATGTTTATTCTGCTCATTTTCTCCGCTGCTTAAGAACAATATACATATCTCTAAATACTCCTGAACCAAATGCAATTATAGCTCCAGAGTTTATTTTATTTTATTTTCTTCTTTATCTTATTTTAATTAAATTTTTTATTATCTTAAATAATACTCTGTTTGATGTGTGCAATCTGAGTGCTCTTATTTCCTTCTTTCTCTGCTGTAATGTGCGCAACTCTGAGACAAATAAAGGAATATCTTATCTTATCTCTCATCTTAAACATTCCTCTTGCTCCGGCTTGAATTTCTTGATAGAACCAGACCGGAATACTTTACTATCGCATTCGTCGCCATTGCCAAACTACAACCTGTCCGTTCGATGCAAAATCTTGACGTCACCAACATCTAACTACAACACCTGCCTCCCGTGCTCGCTGATTGGTCGGATGGAATTCAACCGATGTAATTGCAAACACAGGGACCAGACCCAGACGTTACATGCAGGGAGATGATGATTGACCGGAGTGTACGGATGGCTAAGGCCAGGCTAATGATGATCTAAAGTTGTAAAACACATCCCTCCAGTGGCAATAGTTCATGGACATCATGGACTCCAATCTTCCTAAAATACTAATTTTGGTGGCAATACTTTTGCTATACTAGGATTGAGCGAGAATAATTTTATACAAAAGGACCGTATTTACATTTTTGTGCCAGAAGTTCCAGATATTATCTTCGATTAAGCTAAACATGATCTTTTTCATGAGGGAACAATGATGTAAAAGGTTAAGATTTCAAAAATGACAATTTTGTTATAATGTCTCCTTATCTATTGTGATCAGTTAAGACCAAATGTGATTTCTTGACCTTGTGTTTCAAGATAAAAGATACATATACATTTCTCATTACACGGTTTCAATTATATTGGGCTGTACTGACCACAATAAAATTACAGGGTGTCTGTTGCCTCAGAACTTTGAGAACCCCTGTTGTAAAGGCCACATTCATATTTCTAGTTTTATGTTCATTTTATTTTTAAGTGGATGAACCAAGTCAACTTCCATAGAAATCCTTTCAATCTTTGTGCTTTCTGTCACTTTCTGTCACAGGGTTTCATAAATAACTTCCAGGAGGCGAAGGAGGCATTAACTGAGGCAACGGTGCAGGCGGCAGAGAAGGCGGCGTTTGGGGTGAAGGAACTGGCCGAGAGGAGTACACGCATCTCCCTGAACGTACACTTCAACGCCCCCGTGATCTTCCTCCCTCAGTCCTCCTCCTCCTCAAATGTCATTGTGGCAAATCTGGGCTTACTGTCTGTGAAGAACAGCTTCAACATGCAGCCTTACATCTCAAGCGCCAAGATCCCCCCTGTGGTCGATGTCATGCTGGTCAAACTGACCAACCTCAAGATGTACAGGTAAACCCAACAGCCACGACATCTTTTGTACTAGGACTTTGAACCCAAAATGCAATTAGTAATAGTTCAATAAAAAGTTCATCTGAAAATTGGTATAACACCAATTCAAACCCATGATTAATAGGGCTGTCAATGAGTATTGTTCTGAAACAGTGTAATATGAATTTTGAAATCTTGCAACATCAAATGTATTTTATTGACCTGTGAATGAATATCAAACCAACTCTGATTTTGTTTTTTTTTAAGTTTTATCATCAAGTAGCTTTCACTTTTGGAATTGAGTGATTGAGAACCTCTCCATGTAATTAGGGATTTGGTAGTTATATAGATCTTTAAACTCTAGCGACACAATTGCATACTTTGTGTTTTTTTTTTACAGAACTACGTACAAAAACGATAAATTCCAGGGAGAGACTCAGCTCCTGATGCCTGTCAGTCTGGACCTGGACATTAGGAGAAACCTTTCATCAAACTGGTACCACAATATCCCGGACATTGAGATCATCGCTCATCTTAAGCCTATGAGCGTACGTAAAGTTATGTATGTGTGTGTAAACATGAAAACTGAAAATCCATCACATCTTTCTTAAATGAGGTTGAAGCTTGACCGGGTAACTTCTCAGTCTACAAAATAAAATAAAAAGAGCCCTTTTTACTAGAAATTTCTCACATTTATTTAGCTGTATCCCATAGCAGTCAAACTATTCCCCGAATGTTGTTTTCTGTACAATAAATAATGATATGCTGAGTATTGGCCTTCTGTTCTTCTAGCTGATGTTGAGCCAGGACGACCTGACTGTGGTGTTGAGAACCCTGAATGAAAACCTGACGGAGAGCTCTGAGCTCAGTGCTCCCACAGTCCCCCCATCCCCCCCATCCCCCTCTGTCTCTGAGCCCTCTGGGACATCCACCAAGGTGTCCACGTCCTCACTGCCCAACGCAAGTAAGTACTCTGAACTCACAGACGGCTAGTTTGTGCATTTAGTTGTATCAGTATTGTTTGAGAAAAAATTTTAATTTGAAAAGTATTTAAAACAAAGATTTTTTTTTTTTTGATGGATCTGCATAAAATAGTACAAGTACACTTACTATATAATGTAAGATGTCCTTCATATGTGGTTCTTGTGACATTTTGGGTTTCGGGGCCAACTTACATGCAAAAAAACTGTTAACACTTTTTGATTCTCTGATCTATGTTGCTGAATTGACAGCTTTGTAACTCCGAGATAACTGCCTCATTGAAGTAGTTCATTATTTTACTGTTAAAAATATTTGAGCCATCTTCAGAAAAAGTAGATTAACGTAAAACATCTGTATCAGGTTTCTATTTTTCTGCTATGTCTTGTGTTAGAACTTCACTTCTCTGATAATTGGAGTGAAAATTATGTCTTGTGTGTAGATAACATGGTGGTGACGGCTGCGGTGGTCGAGCCTCATATAACCCAAAAACTCAAGACGGCTCTGAAATTAGACTTCAAGTTTGACTCCATGACTCTGGTCCTGTTCACTCCACAGGGAAACGAGGTGATGTGCTTTTGCTCGTAACTGATTACAGTTTTTAGGTATTGTATTGCTATTGGTACAATTGTATTAATATTGTGGTTACTCAGCAACAACAGAGAATCAAATCATATTCTTAATGTTTACATTAAAAAAATTCTGTTCAAAATGCTTCAATGTGTGAGCTCATTCGCAAACATTCCCTTCAGTAGATATGATTTGCAGTTGTACTAAAATCAGGCATGGTTTCCTACTTTGGCTGTTATCCCAGGCCCAGCTGCTGGACTCTCACGACCAACAGCTCAAACTGGCAGAGTTTACCCTGGGGACCATCTCCACATCTGTCCACATGTTCTCTGACAGCTCCATGAAGGCCCTGGTGCAGATGGCAGCCTGTTTTCTGGACGACAAGAGACCCACCATTCACATGGTCACCTCAAGGTACATGGATAAAATTATATTAAAATAGACATGCCAATGCTGGAAAGTATTTACTGTCATTAATACTACATTGAAAAACATGTCTGGTTTAAATGATATAGAAAGTTACACTCTGTGTACTGGGTGCATCTCTGACTGCCACCCCCCCAACCCAGAAATGGATTAAGGGGAAGAAAATGGATGGATGGAGAAAGTGACATAGCATAGACTTTTGTCAAGAACCTTTAACTTGGAAAGTCTTCCCTATGGGAAACTCTCAAGGCCACTGCAGAGGCAGATGCTTCTAAATGTACTTTTTCAAATATCAATCCAAATCCAAGTGGCCAAAATTGACATTTTCAGTTGAGTAGCTTCATATAATGTGAATGGCAATCCAATTTGGAGAACAATAAGTTGAAAACGTAAGGGTTGGGAGTTGCCTCTTTTACAGGATATAACTCGCGTAATGCTGTTTCTTACTAAAACTGGAATTTCTTTGGCAAAATTATTGATTGGTGAGTGAATAAGATATCCTTTTATATACCATTTATAGCACAAGCAATTAAGAGGGAAGATTCTCGAAGTGATTTTCGGAGCGATTCTCGGAGCGAACATTCCAGATTTTAGCTGCATGGATCTGAAAGGCTGACTCTTCATGTTTATTCCTGCCTGCCTGTTTTTGTGTCCTCTAGGATGATGGCTCTGTGTCCGGGGGCTGAGCAGAATATGATGGTGGAGGTGAAGTACCATCAGGGCAGAGAGGGGACACTGCTGGACGTGCTGGTGCAGGACATTTACCTCTGCGCCAGCATGGAGTTCCTGCTCACTGTGGCCAACATCTTCGTCACGGCCTCACAGCAGGGATTTGGCCAAACTCCCCAGAACAAGACCAACGTAGAGAAGAAGAACAACACCTCTCTGGCATCTAAAGAGACAGGTGTGTAATGGTTATGTATCCCCATGTGTTGTGCAATATACGACCTAAAAAACAGGCCCTAGCACTAGTTTGATGTGAAAGCCTGTGGAGATCTTTGCTGAACATCCTATCTTCCTGTGACTTTGCTCTGCTAGCCCCTGCTCCTGCGGTGGAATCTAAGACCGAGATGAGAGTGGTGGTGATCAACCCTGAGATCGTGTTTGTAGCAGATCTGAGCCGCGGTGACGCTCCAGCTCTAGTTATGACCACGCATTGTAAGCTCAACATGCATAGTGGAGCGGATGGATCCACAATGGCCGCCAGCATCAACGACCTCAAGGTAAAAAAGGCTTGGCACTAATGAGCCACTGGAGTACGGAAGCAATAGACTTTTTTGCTTTCCTCCATTAAACTGATTCTAGACAAAACAGCATGCTTCCCTGAGATATAGTAAAATAGAGTAAGAACACAGGAAAATGGGAAACCAGGTTGTATAGAAGTGTCACCCAAGTTTTAATCCTCGTCTTTTCTTTTTCAGGTGGTGGCATGTCCGTTTCTCAGAGAAAAGAGAAAAAACAATGTGACCACAGTTCTGCAGCCATGTTTGGTTTCCTTTAAAAGCATCCAGACTCCACAGACTCCTCAGGCAATGGATATCTCCATCAACGCCCTCAAACTCAAGGTTAGAACCTATTTCATAATCATACAAACCATATACTGTGTGTGCTCACATCCTTTCCATAACCAAAGAGCCCTTTTGTGTGTAATCTACTCTTAGTATACCTCTGTTCTTTGATCACCTCAAAGCTTTTATAGAGTATATTTCTCACTAAAAAGGGGCAAGGCAAGTTTATTTGGTTAGCACAATTCAACAACTCAAAGTGCTGAACAAAATAAGATAGCATTAAAAATCATAAATAATCACAGTACATTAAAAAGAAAGATACAAATATAAAATCCCTCAGTAGTTTGCACAGCTAAACAGAACTGGTTTTAAAGATTGTCAGGAGAAGAGGCCTGTCTCACACTTTCAGGAAGATTGTTCCAGATGATGTCCAAGGATAACACAAGTATAGTCTGGGAGAAAGTTGTAAACGCAGAATTAATTTATAAATGCACACGATTACACAACTCGTGGAGCACTGTTCAATCGATTATTGAAGGAGTATGGCACCACTGCAAATTTACCAAGACACAACCGTCCATCTAAGAGTGCATTTATCAGAAATGCAGCTATGTAACGTGTGGCAAGAAGAACGCCATTGCTGAAAAAACCCTTAAGAAATCCAGTTTACCAAAAGTCCTATGGGGACACTGCTATCATGTGAAATTAAGTTTTCCTTCCAGGATTTTAAATAATAGTGACGTCTTTCATCCTTGTATAAAAATAAGGCCACAAAGGCCTTATTTGCTCACTGCTATTCCTGAATATTCCATGTGAGTGAGATAAAAGCTCAGACATGTTTCGGGTCGAGGTCGCGTATAATATACATTTTGCTTCTTCCTCTTTCAGGTGTCCCCCATCATCATAAACACAGTCATTACCATCCAGTCAGCGCTGACCCCCACCGGGGAGACGCCAGAAAAGCTGGACAGTCATGTTCCATTGAACCTGTGGGAGCGGCGGAGCTGGAGAGACCTCAAACTGTGGTTTTTAGACGAAGAGAAGAGTGAAGACCAGCAGCAACAGGCTCCACTAATACCACAGGGAGAGTCTCTACAGGTAAAGCTGAGGTCACAAAGACCCTCATGAACTGACTGCAACCCATTCCTATTGTCTTAGTAATTTGTTAAGCCATACAGATGCCAGCTGCCTATGGGTAGATTTTGTGAGGAGAATATATACCAAACATCAATACAATACTGAGAGGCGCTTGTTTCATTATCTACTGTAATGACAGTGTGGGAGGAACACTAGAGGATGTTTGCGCACAGAAAAGCGTCAGGACCTGATATGACTGATATGACTCACCTTTTATGTGCTGAGTTTGTTTTCAAATCTCATGTGAAAACTTAAATAATTCAAATTATTCCAATGAATTAACAGACATGTCTTATTTCTGACAGGCTTTGGAAGAAAATGAGATTGTTTTATTTTCTGGCCTATGAGTCATTGACACTGTAAGGTTGATCTTCCGGTACAGTAACTGTATGATCATTTATACAGATGAGTATAAACTCGATCTGTGTGACTCTGGAGGCCGGTGTGGGCCACAAGACGATGCCCATGCTGCTCGCCAAGTCCTCCTTCCACGGAAGCGTCACCAACTGGTCCACACTCATCAACCTACACAGTTCACTCAATCTGGAGGTGTGTCTGCTGCTTTTGAGATTTCGGAATGGAAAACATTAAGTATGTTTCCGCAATTGTTCAATATGTTTTTGTTTTAGGTTCACTATTATAATGAGATGTTGGGTGTGTGGGAGCCGCTGGTGGAGCCTTTAGAAGATGAAACAAAAGATGGATTTAAACCATGGACCCTGGAGTTCAAGGTTTGTCAAATATTTGTACTGACACAAATTCTTTCAAATGTAGACATAGTAGTTGACAAAATGGTTACAACCGTACATTCTACACCGTGTTACAGCACTCTCTCACCACCGCTTTTGTCTAAAGCCCTCTGTCTGGTTCGCTATGATGGCTCCTGAAGTGTTTCATTATGGGCTGAGCAGTTTCTGTATATAAAAAAAAACAAAAACCTCAAAATACTTAGTGGAAATGTCTACACTGTAAAATGGTCAAATAAATGGCCTTAATATACTGTTATTGATAATAACAGTATATTAGAACACACCAATAAACTACAACAAAGTTGGGGCTAATTGTCAAGCTACATAAAGTCTGAATGCAGAGCCAAAAGCCAACCACAACTCAAGAGTTGCCCTTAAACAGACGTACAAACTCGGTGTGTCTGAGTGAAGGCCATCACAGGATTGGTTAACCAGGAAGGTAATGTTGTATCAGTCCTGAACAAAATATACAGATCTGTGTATACAACGTTAGAGATTTGGTTGAAACTAATATGTTGGTGTATTGTGTGTTGGCAGATGAAGAAAAAGACTGTGAATTACTGTGGGTCTGATGAGGTAGATTACATCGTTCCTGATTATAAAACTGTCATCGTGATCAGCAGCAAAGACCAGCTCAACATCACTATGTCCAAGTGCGGACTCGTCATGCTTGGAAACCTTGGCACGGTAATAAATCTCTGCTCAATGGGAGGAAACTGAATAGTTGACTGTGCTGGTGCATTATGAGGTCACATTGTGCTTCAGATTGGATTGTGAACAAGACTGGAAAGTGTTTTCAACAGTGGTCCCTGACTATAATGAGGCCTCACTGTTTTTTTGCTTCCTATCCTCAGCATTTTATACTTCATTATCCCACACAACATTATACAACTAGTACAAGTTGTGGCTTGTGTGCACCGTTGTAGTTATTTCATAGGACTACAACGGTCTTCCAGGAGACCTCAGTCCTGCTTCTGTCCTCTGCGTGGTGTATGCTTTTGACACCTGCAGCTGCGCTCAGACTTATGACTAGGTTTGATATCCCCACGATTTTAGAACATATCCCCCGCGATAAACCAGGGACCACTGTACTTAATTACTTAACTTGATTTTATCTGCTCTTTATAATTTGTATAGTCTCTATATCACAGCCCAAAAAAAGAAAGTAACTTATTGCTGTCAGTTGCTTCAATCTAAAGATGTGTGTTACTGTGCACTGAAGGCGTTTGCAGAGGCAGCTAAGCAGACATCAGAGAACTTCCAGAAGGACGAGGCTCCTTTCATGGTGAAGAATCGTCTGGGGCTTCCTGTGAAGGTTCTTCACAGTGACACCTTCAGCCCCATTGATGTTGAGAGCGTGAACAGAAGTGTGGAGCTGCAGGATGGAGAATCTCTGGGCATGGACTACTACGTCGACACAAACTCAGACCAGTTCTCTGCCATGACCAGTCTGAGTGAGAAGGACTACTACATAGAGCCCAGTGAGTACATACTTATCCATGCTACTGAAACTAGTGCAGATACTGGACATTTGACAAAAGTCCCTCACATATTTTGTTGCTTGAAAACAGCAGTGTACTATTTGCAGATGAGCACTATTTTTGCGTTAATGAGGTAAAACTGTCATTTTGAATTTGTCTTGTTTCACAGCTCCTGTGGGCCACACCTCCACCTCACTGATCCCTCTGATCAAAGTGGGCCGGGGTCTGTACAGCGTGGTGCACAAAGAGTCGCAGGTGACACGTTTCGTGGTCTGTCAGATTTCCTCACTGGAGGGAACCAAGTTTGTGAAGATCCGCTCTCCTTTCCAGGTATCGCTTCTGTCTTACTTGAATGCACGCCCATCATGTGACACTGTATTGGCCCTGTCATTCATGCCAAAAACCTCACAATGTAGTACATGTTTAGGTTATTTGTTTGACTTCTTCTTTATTTTGCAGTTTATAAATAAGTTCACAATCTCCTTCAAAGTGTTCGAAGGATCGACATTTCTCGGAACGGCGCCTCCGGGTCAGGAGTTCTGTGTGCCGCTGGACTCATACCGGTAATAACATCAAATATAAGGATTACACATTATAATATATATTTTTTCTTTTTTAATTGTTTGTTTTAAATATTTCTTATATAAATGTTGTGATATTGCGGTCTATTTTTACATTATTGCTATTGGAAGCTATTGGATGTTATTTTTCCAGCTCTGAGTTGAGTCTGCAGCCGGTGATGGGAGCGGAGGCGACAGAGGAGGAGGAGTTCTGCTGCTCAGAGGGTTTCAGTTACGAGGACCTGGAGAACCACCCCCCAGAGGAGCTCATCCAGCAGACGTGTAAGCACCGCTCGGACCCAATGAAGGTCCTGATAGTGAACATGGTGGTTCAGAAGGACACAGTCTCCTTTCTGCGCACTGGAGGAGCTGGGGGCAACTTTGACGTGCCTTATGTCCTGACGCTGTGGCCCTCTGTACTGCTGCGCAACCTGCTGCCCCACCCCATCACCTACAAACTCCAGGTGGGAACGCTTTCTTAAAGCTGACACATTTTGAATCACAAAATACGTAAAATCAGCGGTGATTATTGGTAAACGAGAATCAGACGTTTGAATTATGTCACATTTTTGAAACACTGAGGTTTTGAGAAGGGATTAGAAGTTCCAGTTCGTAGAGCGACCCATGTCTGCATCCCATCTCAAAATCCCTCTGTTCAGGCTTTTTCTCATTTAAACTTTTCATTTTATTCTTGAATCTGTTTTGATGTTTTTATGGGTTTTTTTTTTTTCATCTCAAAAAAGTGTTTTTTAGTCTGACAAATGAATTACTGTGTTATTATTAATATTATTTTGTCTGGCTTTGTTTGAAGACCGTTTTGATTTTCTTGGTTTATTTCATAAGGGGAAACAGAATACAATATTGTCACAGCATTAGATGTATCTTCTGGAAAACTGGTCTCACTTTATTTTCTACTGATACACAACTTATTTAATCACAAGTAATAATCATCCTTTTCCTATGTACTGTATAAGCAGGACAGTGGGGAGTCTCCCCCTGAAATCTCCCTGGAGCCTGGTCACTCGGCTCAGCTCCACACGGCCGTCAAAGACCAGTCCAGACTGGACCTGCGCCTGATCGACTATCTGGCCCAGGACTGGTCTGCAGAGTACAAGTACAGACGCTCTTCTGATTATTAATTAAGCTTTTAGAGTTCAGAGCCTGTACATTGTGTCTGATTTTCCTGAAACGCCTGCTTTTTATTCCCGTTCAGGCTTTGCATGGAGCGCCAGGAAATCACGTTCATTGTGTTCAAGTCTCTGCGTGAGGACGATGAGGACGTGAGTGAAGGATCGGCGATTAATAAGGCTGAGCTGGACATTGCGGTACACCTGAGCCAAGACCAGGGTCAGATGGTGGTGGCCATTCACTCTCCTTACTGGATGATCAACAAAACAGAGCGTCTGCTTCAGTACAAGGCTGACGACATCCACCGCAAACACCCCATGGACTACGACATGCCCCTGCTCTTCTCCTTCAAGCCCAGAAATTTCTTCAGAAACAACAAGGTGTGGCAAATGTTGAACTATCTGGTGTATTAAGGACAGGGAAATAGTGTGTACTAAATAAAACAGTACAAGGAGCTCATAGGAACAAGTTGGATGGAATTACACATGACTGGAAATATGTTTGGCTTTTGGGGAAAACTCAGAGGAAAGCCCACCCAGACACAGGGAGAACATGCAAATTCGATGTAGAAAGGCCCAGGCCCGGAACTCCCCCAAGCGTTCTTGCTGTGACCTCGACAATAATGCACAATAAAGCCTCAAGTGTCAAATAACAGCAGACCTCTGATCTGAGGTAAAACTGTTTGTACATTATGTCAGAAATGAATCTTTTTCTGCTGAATCCTTTTCAACAGCTATTATTTTCATCAACTTGAAGTGTGATTGAAGTGGTTTTAGTTTAGCTTTTGTACTTAGTGAGAGGGCCCCTTTAGTGACCCAGGTTTGTCCAGGGCCCGACGTCCAGAATTGTAAAACTTTTTTGACTGGATTTGAGCTGCTCTGAGATTTGTAATTAAAGAGCTGAAGGTGGCTGAATGAAAAATGTCACCAGCTACATTAGCGCCTAATATTGATATGAATTAATGGTTTTCATAAATTCAATTTAAACAAGTATTTCTGGAAGCAAGTTCCACTAGTGAGATGAACGAAATTTCAAAAAGTCTGAGAACTATCTATAACCCCTGGTGCCACTTGGCTCATATTGAAGGAACACATTTGACAAATATTTTGAACTTCTACAATTTAATGATTAATGGTTTAACAAAAAATGAAAATCAGCTTTTTGTATTTGTTCCTAATCTAATGGAGGACTTTGTAAGACCCTGTAAACAAGCCTTTACAATAATCAAGTCTACTCATCAGTGCAGTTTTTAAGTCCTGTGACTTTATGGACTTTTTCAGGTTCGTCTGATGATCTCGGACAGTGACCTCTCCGATGCCTTCTCTCTGGACACCGTCGGGAGCCATGGCGAGGTCAAATGCAAAGGACGCTATAAGGACTACATGGTACAAGACAGCAGCTATCGATCTCATATATTGAATTATCATCGTGGCTCTATACCTCGTTCATAAACCATATGTTCTTGTAGGTGGGAGTGAAGATCGACACCAGCAGCTTCAGCCTGACCCGGATTGTGACCTTTGTGCCCTTTTACACCCTGATGAACCGGACCAAGCACAGTGTGTTCATCTGTGAGGAGGGACAAGAGAACTGGACCGAAGCTGAGCCCGGACAGGTCACTACCTCTATCATCGTCAATATTACATTTGTCATTTTTAGTTTATACAGGTTCTAAATGTACAGTATCAAAATGAATGCAGAATATTCAAATATGTAGGGGGGACCAGACATTAACGATAAATCAACAAAATGTACAATAATAAAATAAGTTAAGAAAGAACATGGCCTTTCTATTAAAATGTGTTGTCATGCTAGCTAGTTTGATTATTCTAGACATTTTCTTTTGGTATATTTGAATGTGTTACTGACATTTCAGTATAGTACTTTATGTACTCAGGTTTACATGATTGATCATTAAAGCTGTGGTCTGTTGAGTTTCCTCTCAGTTTAAGTTAATTTAAAACAGGATTCCTGCACTTTGTTTTAAAATCTTAAATTTGTTTCAAATTCCCAGTCTGCAGTTCCGTTTTGGCCTGAGAATGACACCAAAAGAGTGAAAATAAAAGTGGAGGGTTTGTCGCCGCCGCAGATCATTGACTTCACGCGACCTGAGAACTGCCTCCTCCTGCACCTGGACAACTCTGTAAGAACACTGCACTTTATTGTTTGAGCCATTTGGCCTCAAGGGAACATCTTTCCATTTAGTGTCAGGCACTTTAAAAGGTCTTGACCCAAGAGAAAAAAATATAGAAAATACTTTCATCTCGGGCCTTTTAAATCCACAAATGCAGTTTTTACATAAATTAATGGAATGAAAGTAAGTCATACTTTATGATTCACTCTCTGGGTCACTTTTTAAGAACACTCCAGTTAAAGTTACGGTTAATCTTTGTTTTTGCACCCTAATATCAGAAATGATAGTGATTAGCAAAAACACAAACCCTCTCACTATGGAAACTCTTTTGTCTTTATTACACAGTCACCATTTGGACCTCCACAGACCTTTGGTTGTGTTTTCCACAGGTGGGCGGGATCATTGTGGATGTAAACCTATCAGAACACTCGGCCACGATCCACTTCTCTGAATACCACGAAGGAGCCGCTCCCTTCCTCATTATAAACCACACAACAGATCAAACCCTGCTTTTTCATCAAAGGTGAGACTCAAACGTAATGGATGTATTTCAAATAATAAATCCTATAATATTGGGGCAACAGTGACTCAGTGGGTAGAGCATTGGCCTTTGGGCCTGAAGGTTGTGGGTTCAAACCACAAGACCCACTTCATGACTCCCACTGATGTCTGCTGTCGTTGTGTCCTTGGGCAAGACACTTAACCCCACTTTGCCTGAAGCCCCCGCTGAAACATCAAAGCACCTGTGGACTTGCAGAAGGATCAGTGAGGGGATGGTGCTCTGTGTGCTGGGTGCTAGGTGCAGCTCAGACTGCCACCCCTGACCAAGAAATGGATTAAGGGGAAGAAAATTAAAATCCTATAATAATAAATGAGAGATGAGATGAGATGTACTTTATTATCTCACAATGAAAAAATTATTATTATTATTATTATTATTATTATTATTATTGGGTTACAACCCTGCAGCTTGCGTTGTAGTTTCTTTGTATTTTATTTGGAATATTGGAAGAGGTGCCTCTTCCAAAGACACAACAGTGTATAACTGTTGTGTCCATGAAGTGGTCCCATGATTCCTCTGATTTCATGGATGTATTTCTTGAGAAGAGATAACTTTGTACCGTCTAACAGTAAATGTGTGTGTTTGTCGTGTCGGAGCAGAATTCACAGTGATCCTAAGTGGGTGGCTGACGAGCTGCTCGGCCTGTCCTCTGACGAGTCCAGGTACAACACGGACCAGGAACCACAGAGACCAAGAACATCTCTGCACTCACATGTAGTCACCTCTTACTTACAGCCCAGGAAGAGGACTGCAAGTCAAACTGCACCAGACATGGTTTTGTTTCTGCGCATGGTGCTAGGATCTTTCCTCCAGAAAGTGAAAAATGAAATTGGCCCTTCATAATGTTCTTGTGAATAGTTCACATTTTGACTATTGTAAGTCATTATAAGACTTTTCACATTCATGGAACTTAGCTAATGATGTGACAAAGGACCAAGTGACAGATTTATTATCCGATGCCCCAGATTTAATCATTGATAATTAATTTTGTTTTGGATTATTGACTCAAATGAGTGCAGAGTGTGTTCAGATGGTACAGGTAACGGGTTGGCTTCTTTTCCTGTCTCTCCTCTGACCAATGGAGAATACTATGTCTTTAAAGCATTCAGAGAAAGCAACGCTTCAGTGGTGGAGGATAGCTCTTTCTTCGATGCATGCGCCCCCCATTTCTTACCATTAAACTAAATGGAGGAAAATTAGCCTCCGCCCAATTTAAACAATGTTCACTTAAGACCGATTGTTGAAAAACAGGCTTACAGGAGCCATAAACGGCTGGTCAATGCTGTGAATAATTTAGATAAAACTAAAATAGTCAATGCTGTATAACTACAGATTAAAGCTGCACTAACTGACTTTATTTTCGTATTCATTACGAAAATGCTATCCATGTTCATGTAGTGCATTGGGATATACGTCCTTTTGAAGAATAATTAGCGCAGATTTGTGCTGGCGTGACATTATATTTTAGATCGAGTTTTGATGAAACAAGGAAGAGAATGTGTTTCGGGTCGCAGATTGTGACCAATCACAACGGACCACTGGCCCCCTCTTTCGTGAGAAATCTACAAGTCCGTTAGCATAGACACACACCGACAGCACAACAAGCCGAGGAGCTAACCTGAAGCTTCGTGTCTTCATCACCGGTTACTGCTTACTTAGCGAAACAGCCATCCAAAAGAAAGTCCCATTCCTCCGCGCTTCCCGGTTCTATCGTTTTATGGTCACGCCATCCACGTGCAAATCCATATTCATGTATTATCCATATTGGGAGACACTAGCTCCGTCCCAACAGTGAGTGTGTGTGGGGGGCGATAGCTTCGTGGGTGCGGGGAGGGGAGCAGAAAGAGAGAGGCCAGCGAGTCCACGGCTTCAAAATCCCAAAGTCAGTTAGTGCAGCTTTAAGTAGATAAAATGTAAATACACAGAATGTTTTTTAAACTTTGGCTATACCCAAGGCAAGTGTCTGGAGTCCTAGTTGTTCAGGCAAAGACTGGGGGTGTTTGTGGAGGAGAGGACCAGTCTCCTGGTACAGCACTAAGATCTCCTTTGTCTCCTCTTGCATCCTGGTCTGGTCTGAAACGTTCAGAGTGTAGCCAGTAAAAAAAAATGTATTGAATGAGACTTGCATGAGAATGAGACTTGGCTGATGCGTATTCTTTAAGCGGACGTCTTTTTTCCAGTGTTTTCCTTCTGAACAGCGGCTGAGGGAACTCTTCTTCTGTGGTCGTGCTGGGGGCTGTTTCTTTTTATGCTTTTTTTTCTGAATGGATACAGAGGTCATTTTTACGATAAGACTGCACAGTATTATTTGTGTTATGCGTCACCAAAGTTCATGTTCCACAAATGGAGGTATTTTTTCTCAAAACAATAAAATACATTTTGTTTATATTGTGCAGTCCTAATACAAAGGTTTCTCTCTGCTCTAGTAACAGTTTGTGTGTCGTCTCTTTGCAGCGTTTTTTTTCTTTAATGCGTTCCGTTTAATGTGTTTTCTTTTGGGCAATTTTCTCTTCATCCTTCTCTTTCTCGTACTCCTTGAGTCTCTGCTCTGATTTGAAAATGCCTTTGCAGTTCTCAGGAAGAGGGAGAGCAGGAGGAGTTGGAGCCAGGGAAAGCTGTGTACTACACCTGGACTGAACCCACAGGCTCCAGGGAGCTGTTCTGGAAGTGTGGCCCCTACAGCGGACTCCTGCACAGCGTCAAGGTATCTGCCCCCCCCGTAGTACAGCTTATACTGAAGAAGTTGACTCACACCTGCTGATCCACCCCTTATGGACCAATGGCTCTGTATTTTTTGGCAAATTGACGGTTTTTTAAAGTCCTTCAGGACAAATACTGTGGGAATATGCAAAAATAAATTGAATTGAAACATCTTGACTTATCTGTCTAGATAAGGGGTGTGATTTACAAATTGTGATAATTGATAATTGTTTGGATACTGAAAGGTTTGTGAAAATGGTATTTTTCATTAATTTGACCAAATTGATAATAATAATAATAATGCATCGGTTTTATATAGCGCTTTTTTGGACACTCAAAGACGCTTCACATGTGTCATTATTCATTCACTCCATACACGGTGGTGATAAACTACTAATGTAGCCACAGCTGCCCTGGGGCACACTGACAGAAGCGAGGCAACCAGTATGTGCCATCGGCCCCTCAGACCACCACCAACCATTCACACACACACCAGACTCATTCTAGGCAATGGGGGTGAAGTGTCTTGCCTAAGGACACAACGGCAGTTTGGCACTTTACAGCCGCAGCCCTGATGTCCCTGGAGAGCATCTTCATAAAAATGACTTTTCTTTATCAGAGTCCAACCACCTTAATAACGCTTGTTGTCATCATTCCTCTTTAGGACCATAAGGAGAATATGAACAAAGAAGGGAAGCTGTTTGTGGTCTCGTTTTTTGAAGGTATGTCCTTCTAACTATATTTAAGTTTAAGCTATAGATCTGAGTTGCTGTTCCTCCTGCAGGCCTGCAGAGGGTGGTTCTGTTCACACAGGAGGCCTCCATCTTCCAGATACTGTCACAGAGTGAGAAGGCACAGCTGGCCGAGCAGGAGATGATCTTATCTCTACAGAGCGTTGGTGTGTCTCTGGTCAACAACTCCACACGACAAGAGATCTCTTTTATCGGAATCACAAGGTACAACACAGCGTCTTTTACATTCATGAGCAGAGCTGCAGTTATGCAGAGTGGACCTGTACGTTGCCAGTCATTCTGCGATTCAGAACGTTTGATCAACCTCTTGTTTCTGGCCACCAACTGCCGAGAGCAGGCCCTGACTCTGCAGATGCTCTGTTGTGGTGTTTGCTGTTTTATAGTTCTGATGTGGTTTGGGAGTATCTACCCAAGAAGAAGAATCCTCACTGGAAAACTCTGAAAATCAAAGAAGCAGAGCTGTTGGAGGACACATACCAGAAGTACCTCAGCACCGAGCCGACGGACAATGCCATCATCGACCTGGAGAACAGCTTTCAGGTTTGAATAATTGTCGTATTGCTGTTCTTTTCCCCAGGTCTTCTCAAATTCATGCATGTATATGGTTGAATAAGTCCCAAATACAGAGTGTCTGGACATACCAATCCTATTTAAAACCTTAATAATCTACCACAAATTTGTCTCTGATAGCCAATAAGTCAAACCTAAAACCTTTTGGGTGTTTGCTCCCAGGTCTCACTCACTCCTAACGGAGCTGACATGAGGATGCTGCAGCCCATGGACACCGCCTTAAGGAGGCACTACCTCCCTGGAGTGAAGATCGAGTACAGTGTTTCACCACGGCAGAGCTCTTACCGCGTCCAGATTCACCACATACAGGTCAAAACTTTAGCACCACAATAACAAGATTTAACCAGTGTGTGGCGGTGTGGAGTTTGCATGTTTTTTTGTGTTTATTTCTCTGTTCCTGTAATGGTTGTCATACATGGGGGGTTGGCAACCTGCGGCCCTTTAGTGCTCCTCGAGTGGCTCCTGGAGCCTTTTCAAAAATATCTGAAAATGGAGTGGGAGGGCTATATTTCATCTCTAGTTTGAATGTGGTTTCTGTAGGAGGAAAAACATTCTTAACTTTTTAAAATGCTGTAAAAATGTGCGTAAGTAATATTCAATTTCAACATTTCTGTCAATGTGGTGATAAGACTGGACTAAGAATAAGAATGAACATTTGCTTTCAGTCAATGAAGAAGGACTGCTTCAGGTTTGCGTTGTAATGAGAAGTTTTGTCGCAACACAAGGAACAATAAAGCGCAAAACACCGTTCACTGAAGGATTCATTCATCAAAAATTCCGAGTACCTTTTTTCAGACTTTAAAAACCTCTGCAAAGACAGTGAATGAAAAGGCCATTAAAGACATTAAGGCCGCTCTAGCAAACTTCAGCCTGTGATGTGATCGATATGAACAGACAGTGCTGTGATGGAGGTGTGTGAACTCTGAGCCAAAAAGATGTATTTACTGTATTTCTACAGTTGCATGAAGGACAAAAAATGGAAGTTAAACTTAAAGCAGAGTTGTCACGTGGTGCGTCAGTCTCTCCAGGACACGCTGCAGTGAAAATACACATTTGATAATCATGAATGCTTATAATGTATGTCTTTGTAACCTTTACTTTGTTATTTATATATTAGGCTAATATAGCTAATACAGCTTGCAGCCTGTGTTACCTTCATATAAGCCTTATACAAGGCTGATCTTTATTTGCGGCTCCAGACAGATGTTGGTTTTAGTTTTTTTTGTCAAATATGGCTCCTTGAACCTTTTGAGTTGCCGACCCCTATCATATACCATGTAATGAGGTTTCTGCCGTTTGCTGCAACAGATTTCCTATTGCCCTTAAATGTAAACCACATGGAACACCGCCACTTCCATAATTACTCATCTTAAACTTGGTACTATGCCAATTCAGTATGGTATAGTACCCGTTAGTGTGTTGATCTTAATTGTAATTGGTTTATTTGGTAGGAAATTGTAAATACTTGCTGGATGCCAGATTCTGAGGTTTTAACCTGTGTGTTTTGTTCTCAGATCCAGAACCAGTTGCCGGGAGCCATCTTCCCATACGTGTTCTATCCAGTCAAACTGCCCAAGTCCGTAGTGATGGATGCAGGTGGGTGTCTCTCTGCTGATCAACTGCTGATCCACAGCTGATCCACAGATGTGCCTAAACTACAGGCTGTGTTTAATCTGAGTGTTTTTGTTTAGAACCGAAGCCTCTGACCGACATCAGCATCGTGACCAGAGCAGCTGGACACTCAGATATATCCAGGATCAAGTATGAGAAATATTCAGCGGGAGTTATATTCTTAAAGAGCCCAGTGCAGTGTTGACTGTTGAATTTGTTCACGCTCTGGTTTCAGTTTAGCTTTTAGGTTTTGTCAGGATATTTTTATAATTTACATCACAAATATTACATTCTACTCAAGAATTGTTCCACTTCTCGTACAACAGTTACTCGTTTTCTTCTTGGTTTATTTGTAGCAGCGTTATGTTTGTGTTTGGCAAAACTATTAGAACACCGCTTTAAAGTCTCAGCTTTTTGTCCTGGGCAGGAGCACACCAGAAATCACCCATTTCCTCAAATCTGCAGGTTTAAACTGGAGTCACCTGAGTAAATGGTTGGAGCCTGGTGTGCTCCTGCTCAGGTTGGAACAAACACCGGCCCTTTGAGGACCGGTTGGACACTCCCGGTTTAGACACGGTTTATAAATAAATGATTTTCTGTTTCTTGTGCAGGTATTTTATGGTCTTGATTCAGGAGATGGACTTGAAACTAGACTTGGGCTTCCTGTACGCCGTCATGGACCTGTTCACGCCCGAGAGCCCCAGCAGCAGTGACGACACCCAGGAGCAGGAGGTCATGTCCATGTTCTGTCAGTGAAGGATCTGCATTTCCTGACTGTGTACTGACTGTGTGTGTTCTGCAGGTGGAGCTGTTTGAAAAGGACATTGAGTACATAAAGACAGAGATGAACCACGGATCTGCTGCTGATAACTCTCCCATCAGCCTCTTTGAGTTCTTCCACATCTCCCCCATCAAGGTCTCTCACCACCTAATGTTTATTATTAGTTCTTCAAAAAACACATGGATAATTTACAATGACTTCACTGTAAACAAGTGACACAATTGCTTATTTATCTTAATTTTAATTTTCTGTTTAAAAACAGAAAATTCAAGAAAACTCTCCCTTAGAATGAGAAATGAATGGTAACTGCACTTGAAAAAATAATAAACTGCTTGTCCCATTGACCCTTATGAGACAGTTAGAATGGACAAAATTTGGGGTTCAAAATGATTCATTAAAGCATTTAACCAATATAATCCTGTCGAGATTGTCGAGAACTTTTTGTCCAGAGAAAACTCTACTCAGACAGGAAGAGAACATGCAAATTCCTGCGTTGTGTGACTTACCTCAAGCCTTTTCAGACTTTTTACATCACTCATGCACGCACGCACACACACAAAAAGAATGATTCCTTGTGGTGTGTCTTGACAGCTGCACCTGAGTTTCTCCCTGAGCTCTGGAGGAGACGATGGTCTGAAGGAGACGCGGGACCGAGAGTTGATACCAGTTCAGTCTTTGAACCTGCTGCTGAAGAGCATCGGAGCCACACTGACTGACGTGCAGGACCTGGTCTTCAAGTACGCACACATACAGCTTTATCCTACTTCATACAGTCAACAGCTTTGAGAAGTCATGGTTAATTTCTATCGGTTTTGTAAAATTTTATAAACAGGTTTCCGAAAGTTTTGGATAAGAAATAAAGTCTAACCCTAACAAAAATGCAGTGAACCAATAATAATCAACCTGCGTTTGCAACTATTTCAAGTCCCAACTTAAAGAAGCTATACCCGATATTTTTTCTAAGTAGTTCATAAAAATGCTTTTTACTACATACAAATTGTATCATAATACATAATTTAATTGAAAACGTGAGGTCATTGATTCCACTGTGTATGAAATTCAGGCAGTCAAAAGTGCTGAGTAGAGTCTGAGCGGGCCGCTCGTTCTCCTCCACTCACAGAACTAGCAGCGAACAGCCTGCGCCCTCTAGCCCCTACAGCGCTGCTTAACACCAGGGTTTTGACTTCAAAATTCGAATATAATTCTAAAATAAAATAAAAAAAAATATATATATATATATATATTGGAACAAATATTAGACAGCCCTTATAATTCGAAATGTATTTAATGACTGCAAATAAAATGGTTAGCTCCCAAAGGTTTCACCGGGACGTGCTAGGCAGGTAACAGCTAAGCTAGCTAGCTGTTTCATGGTAACTTCCGGGTTTTTTGCGATCGCTTTTTGTCACTTTAAAACAGACATTTTGTCATGAAAACGTTGACTGCAAATTCTGAAATCGTCCGTGCATGTGTGTTAAGGATGTATATGTGTACTGTATTGTCCGATTAACATTTAATGGTGTTGATTGATTGATATGTATTTGTTTATTGAGCGTGGCTAGCTCCGCTAGCTTCTCTACACAGACAAGTGTGCAGAAAAACTGCACAATGTAGTGACAGGCGCTGATAGCTTGTTGTACTTGCAAAGTAACGGCAGTATTTTACACACCTGAATTACAAACAGAGATTGCATTGGGGCTGCGGTCATTATTGGTTTGAGAGTTCTGTTATCAAGAAAAAATGATCGGAAGAATTGCATTCAAGTCAATGGAGTGCTGCTGCTGTGAGGAGCTGTATAATAAATTATAATTAAATATTAGAATATATTCTAATGTTTAAATTAATACATTCGTACGCGAAACTAATGGTATTCTTTTACTTATATATTGTGTTAGCAGTGCATTGCTTTAGTGCCATTTCATCAGTGATTGTTGCACAGCTTACAAGTTGCGCTAATGCTAATGTTAGCATACGTATCAGATCGCAAATAAAACTAGATGGCTCCGTGTTATGAGAGCGTAGGGGAAATGAGAAGCCTGTGAGCGAGTTGGGGGCGGTGCTAAACATTCAAACATTGCAGAAACGGGTATAGCGCCTTTAACCCTTTGATGCACAACATGGGTCAAAAGTGACCTGACTGAGTTTCTATGTTCTTTATCTTTGCAATGGATTAATTTAATCTTTTAGTATTCCAGGTATTCCTCAATTAATTTGTTTTTTATCTTTAAACATCCTCATTTTATTATTTGTTTTCTTACTTTTTGAATAAAAATGATTTTTGTATCACTACCCCTCTAATGCACAACATGGGTCAAAAACGACCCACATCCATTTTCAATGTAATTTCATGTACGGCTGAGTGTTGCTTTGCTACACCTTTGTAATATATATATTTTTTCATTTACTACTCCATGTATACAGTAAATAACATGTTTTTATTCATCAAAAGTTATAATTTTTTATGTTTCCTTTCTTACTCTATGAACAAGCTCAACATGTGTATACCTACATCAACTTCACACACATGCATTCACTGTGGCATTCAGTAAGAAGCTTTGAATTTGAGCACGTTTGCTTAGGAATATTTTGAGAGCGGACAAGTCAATTGCAGAAGACAGTTCATCCCTATAGTGACTGTGTTACCATAAATGAACTGCTGGTGCCATTCCAGGGCAGGTGCAAGTTGAAGCAGTACGTATATGCCCAGCAATCCTGTGAAGTACGGGATAAAAATTTTCTTGATGCAAGACTCCATTATGCAATAGATGGAATTGTCTACACAGGAAGACAGCCAGGAGAGGAGGGGCAGAAGAACCTTGGGAAGAATATTCTAAAATTGTGCAGTGGAATCAGACAGACATGTGATTATAGAAAATGGAAATTAAAGCTTTACATAATGTATAAGTTATAGCACACTGCTTTCCACACCCTCTCGGTCGCAACATCACAATGGACAACTTCTTCACCAGTGTCCCTCTGGCTGAGAAGCTCCTCGAGAAGAACCTAACTATTGTGGGCCTTCGCCAAAACAAGCCAGACATACCACCTATCATAAAGCCATCCAAGTCAAGGGTGATTCATAGCTAAGAATTCAGATTCAATGGCAACATGACCATGGTGAGCTATGTGCAGAAGAAGGCAAAGGCTGTCATCCTCCTGAGCACAATGCCTGATAACAGAGCAATGGATGAAGACAGCCAGAAGAAGAAATCAGAAGTGATACAGTACTACAACAGAACAAAAGGATGAGTGGACACAATGGAGAACATGGAGGTGGCCTATGGTGCTCTTGTACAATATGCTGGACATTGCCACTCTCAATGCTTACATCAACTTCACTGCAGAACACACTGGTTACATGGGTGAGGTCACCAATGCATGTCGGCTATTCATCTAGGAGCTGGGCAAAGAGCTTGTCGCATGGAAGACACACCCACACTCCAAAAGCATATCATAGAGGCAATGGGAAGATGTGGGATCGTAAAATTTAAATGTATGATTGTTTGGCCCAAATCCCATCTAAAATAGATATTTGAAACAAAATTGTATTATTATATGCCTTCATTTTTGTTTTAAATCGCAATTGAATAAATTGGTCATATTTGACCCATGTGTGTTATCTTTATATAGTAATACAAAAATGAATTTTGTTCAAAAAGTAAGGCAGGAAAAATATGAATACTAATGTTTGGTAATCAAAGACAAGATATTTAAAGAATACTTGGATTATTGAATTGTAAAATACATTGATTTAAAAAGAAACAGCAAAGAAATGTTCAGCCTGCCAGAGATTACCTGGGAAATGAATGCGGGTCATTTTAGATCCATGTTGTGCATTAATAGGGGTGTGCGTATGTTGTGCATCAAAGGGTTAAGAATCATGTGTTCCGCCCCCAACTCGCTCACAGGCTTCTCATTTCCCCTACGCTCTCATTCCACGGAGCCATCTAGTTTTATTTGCGATCTGATATGTATGCTAACATAGCTTAGCGAACTTAGCGTAACTTCTTGTAAGCTGTACAACAATCACTGATGAAATGGTACAAAAGAAACGCACTGCTAACAAAATATATAAGTAAAAGAATACCGCTAGTTTCACGTCCGAATGTATTCATTTAAACATAGAATAGAATATATTCTAATATTTAATTATAATTTATTATACAGCTCCTCACAGCAGCAGTAGAACACTCAATTGACTTGAATGTCATTTCAAAACGTTCTACCGATCATTTTTTCTTGATAACAGAACTCTCAAACCAATAATGACCGCTGCCCTTTGGCAACACAATATCTGTTTGTAATTCAGGTGTGTAAAATACTAACATTACTCCGCAAGTCCAACGTGCTTTCAGCACCTGTCACTACTTCCGTCTGTGCAGAGGAGCTAGTGGAGCTAGCCGAGCTAGCCACGCTCAATAAACAAATACCGAACAATCAATCAACACCTTTAAACGTTAATTGGAGAATACCTTATACATATACATCCTTTACACACATGCACGAAAGTTTTCAGAAGTCCTCCGCTCACACACAGAAGTCGCTCCTCCTCCTCCTCCTCCTCACCAATAATCAATAATGATAACTAGATAGGGTATTACTAGCTTACAGCTGTCCTACTCATGGGCACAGGGGGCGCCCGTGGTACTGTAAACTAAATTCACGTGGGCTACCCGGAAAAAAGTCTCATAGAACTCAAGGTAAATTAAAAATTAAAAATTTTAAAAATTACAAATTTTAAACATTAAAAATGTTACGATTAATTTTTTTAATCGAGTTAATTACAGCTTAAAAATTCATTAATCGTAATTAAGCTTAGTGAACATATGTACTGTATTTGTTTGTTATAACAATAAATCCACATAAAATGGAATTAACATTATTAACATTCTGTCTTTCTGTTTAGACTCAGACCAAAACCATTGTTTGTTAAAGATGAGGGATATTTCAAAACAGTCTGAAATACAGAATGTCATTAAATCTGTTTGATTTGCTCACACCATAACTTTTTTTGGCACAACTAACATGAACTGGTAGTCGAAAGGAAAATTAGGTACCTCAGTTTTAATTTAGCAAGTGCGCTTCGGGGGAAGACACGGAGGAGACTGAGGCTCCGCAGTCCAGCTTCAGCGCTGTACATATTGTGTGCATCGGTTACGCAAAGACACGTACGCACACTAGAGAATAGTTCTGTAATAGTTCTGTGCGTGGTCTTGGATATGATCCCATTACGCAGCGCCGCTCGCCGTGATCACAGCCGCTGGAAGTGGGACCTGCTGTCCATAGCTCATCATGCAGAGTTCATACAGGAAGTGCCCCGCGGTCACGCGTGTATTCTTTCAAAAATTTAATTCCCAGAGGGCCTACCTGCTCTGTCCCCATCTCACACACACGTGTCCGCGGCATTCTGAGTTTTATCATGGAATGCATGGGCATGCGTCAAATGCGTTAAATTGTTTTAACGCGATTAATGAAAAAAATTAATTAACGTGCGTTAACGCAATCATTTTGACAGCCCTAATAAAAATATTTTTTTTGTCAAGAATCAACAACAAGTGGGACACAATCGTGAAGTGGAACAAAATTTATTGGATAATTTAAACTTTTTTAACAAATAAAAAACTGAAAAGTGGGGCGTGCAATATTATTCGGCCCCCTGGCGCTAATACTTTGTAGTGCCACCTTTTGCTGCAATTACAGCTGCAAGTCGCTTGGGGTATGTCTCTATACAGTTTTGCACATCGAGAGACTGGAATTCTTGCCCATTCTTCCCTGCAAAACAGCTCGTGCTCAGTGAGGTTGGATGGAGAGCGTTTGTGAACAGCAGTCTCCAGCTCTTTCCACAGAAACTCGATTGGATTCAGGTCTGGACTTTGACTCGGCCATTCTAACACCTGGATACGTCTATTTGTGAACCATTCCATTGTAGATTTGGCTTTATGTTTTGGATTATTGTCCTGTTGGAAGATAAATCTCCGTCCCAGTCTCAGGTCTTTTGCAGACTCCAACAGGTTTTCTTCCAGAATGGTCTTGTATTTGGCTCCATCCATCTTCCGATCAATTTTAGCCATCTTCCCTGTCCCTGCTGAAGAAAAGCAGGCCCAAACCATGATGCTGCCACCACCATGTTTGACAGTGGGGATGGTGTGTTCAGGGTGATGAGCTGTGTTGCTTTTACGCCAAACATATCGTTTTGCATTGTGGCCAAAAAGTTCGATTTTGGTTTCATCTGACCAGAGCACCTTCTTCCACATGTTTGGTGTGTCTCCCAGGTGGCTTGTGGCAAACTTTAAACAAGACTTTTTATGGACATCTTTGAGAAATGGCTTTCATCTTGCCACTCTTCCATAAAGGCCAGATTTGTGCAGTGCACGACTGATTGTTGTCCTATGGACAGACTCTCCCACCTCAGCTGTAGTTATCTGCAGTTCATCCAGAGTGATCATGGGCCTCTTGGCTGCATCTCTGAAGGTCTTCTCCTTGTTTGAGATGAAAGTTTGGAGGGACGGCCGGGTCTTGGTAGATTTGCAGTAGTCTGATACTCCTTCCATTTCAATATAATTGCTTGCACAGTGCTCCTTGAGATGTTTAAAGCTTGGGAAATCTTTTTGTATCCAAATCCGGCTTTAAACTTCTCCACAACAGTATCTCGGACCTGTCTGGTGTGTTCCTTTGTCTTCATGGTTCTCTCTGCGCTTTAAACAGAACCCTGAGACTATCAAAGAGCAGGTGCATTTATACGGAGACTTGATTACACACAGGTGCATTCTATTTATCATCATCAGTCATTTAGGACAACATTGGATGATTCAAAGATCCTCACTGAACTTCTGGACTGAGTTTGCTGCCCTGAAAGTAAAGGGGCCGAATAATATTGCACGCCCCACTTTTCAGTTTATTTGTTAAAAAAGTTTAAATTATCCAATAAATTTTGTTCCACTTCACGATTGTGTCCCACTTGTTGTTGATTCATGAAAAAAAATAATATTTTATATCTTTATGTTTGAAGCCTGAAATGTGGCAAAATGTTGAAAGGTTATACTTTCAAAGGCACTGTATGGTCATTCAAGGTTACTTCAAAGTGTGGAGGTGGTCACAGAAAAGTAATTGACATTTTTTAGAAAACCTTAAAGCTACAGTGCCTTACTTTGGCACACAATTATGTAAAGTGGAATCATGTTTGTTTTTTTCAGACTGGCCTTTTTTGAGCTGAAGTTTATGTTTTGCACGACACAGCAGTTGCAGTCTGAAGTTATGCGACACTACTCCAAACAGGTAACAATGTCACTGTTGAAAAGGGCACATACAGTAAATAATGAACAATATAAAAGCCTATATAAAGCCTTATATATGATAGTACTGTAATACCTAAATGCTACTGACATAGCCGCATTTCTTCTGGCTTGAATATTTCTAGTTCAGGACACATTCTGGAGAAGTATACATTTCTCAGCTGTGGTTGCAGTTATATAGTTATAAAGGGTGAATTGGTAATAAGTAGTTTTTTCAGGCGATTAAGCAGGCGTATGTGCTTGTGCTGGGGCTGGACGTGCTGGGGAATCCCTTCGGTCTGATCCGCGGTTTTTCTGAGGGAGTGGAGGCCTTCTTCTATGAGCCCTGGCAGGTACAGTCAACGCTACTATCCACAACATCACATGGGTCGCAAAGATCTACTCCCTTTAGATAAAAATAAAATAAAATTACATTTTCCTTATTGAGTTTAATTCATTTTATTCTTGTAGGGCCCTAAATCACAACAGTAGTCATCTCACAGGACATAACCGTTGAAATCACAACATTTCAAACACAAAAACATAGAACACATAGGAATTGGTTCATAGGGGGAGAGACCAATATCCATGAATGTTGCCCTGTATTCTCACCACAGTCCTTCTTGTTAGCAAGGAAAAACTCTAAGAAGAACTACATTGAGAGAGGGATCCGCCCCACACGGACTCACACCTTATCTGTCGTGTGGCTGTTATGTCAAAAATGTATTGTGATAACTCTTACGCTGACGTTTTACAGTTTCTAGATTTGAAATGTTACAAATGGCTAAAACCATGTTCCTTAGAAATGCCAAATCAAACTGCTGTGCATCATTTTTGTATTACCGCACAAAAGTATGGTGAGTAAATTCACTGGTTCTCTGTCACTCTGCTTAAGTCGCCATCGTGAACAATATGTATAAATGTTTAATAAAACTGCAGTCAACACAGTTACAGTTGTACTGTACGTTTGAAACTAGTGACTGAAGTCTGTCTTTTGATAAAGTGTCTGATTGTGTTGTGTGGGGTTCCTCAGGGTGCGATCCAGGGGCCGGAGGAGTTTGTGGAAGGCATGGCTCTGGGGTTCAAGGCCCTGGTGGGAGGAGCTGTTGGTGAGTGGATCCATATGTCCCTGTGTATTAATGTTCATGTTGTATCATGTAATGTGATCGATATCAGTAAAGAACTAGAATGTGTATCATCCACACATGCTGCCACTGACAAGATACAAATGACAAGATAGAATTTAAGGCAAACATTCCAATGCCATTTACAATTATGTTTTCATAGCAGGATTCTGTTTATTTCATCCTCGGAAGTATGTTTTGTTTAAATCCATGCGTGTTCCTTTAGGGGGCATCGCTGGGACGGCTTCCAGGATCACGGGGACCGTGGCCAAAGGCGTGGCAGCTATTACCATGGACGAGGACTACCAGCAGAAGAGACGAGAGACCATGAACAAGCAGCCGAGCGGCCTCAGGGAGGGACTGGCCCGGGGCGGCAAGGGGCTGGTGTCTGTGAGTCATTGCTGCATTTGTGACGGTCTCAGGGGGAGGAGGGTCTCAGATGGAGGAGGGTCTCAGATGGAGGAGGGTCTCAGATGGAGGAGGGTCTCAGAGGGAGGAGGGTCTCAGAGGGAGGAGGGTCTCAGGGTGAGTAGTACTACTGGTATAGAGAAATAGATACTTTATTGATCCCCGCAGGAGAAATATCCAGCAGCAGAAAAACATCCATCCATACAAACAAATAAATACATAATTCTAAAAGTAACTAACACTAGTGCTATAGTACAACAACAGCCGCAGAGCTGGTGTAGCTGCTGGTGATGAGCTGCTTCCTTTGGTTGATGTCTGCTCTGGTCTGGATCAGTGTAAAACCATGAACACTGTACTGCAGTAACATTTACAGGTAGATAAACATTTAAAGCACAAAATTGAGCTACGAAGACTCGCTGCCATTCAAAAGTATTGCATTAAGTTTAAACTAGTCAAAGAAGCACTAATGGATGAATGTAAATGTACTTGTTGGAATGATTGGTAGGTGTTTAAATATGAAGGCATTTACAAACACTGAAATATTTGACTCTAAGAAGATCCTGGTCCCTATTCAGCCAACTGTTTATTATTACTTATGAAATTGGGCTTTGAAATTGAGTTTTCTCTGGGCTTTTGATTCAAGTGCATATATACACTCAGTATTAGTTCTGTGAAATTAAGACAGTATGAAGTCTAAAATCTCTTGTATTACTTGTAAGGATGCCTTTCTCCAGAGTCCATGGGATCAATAATGTGTATGCGCTGTGCTTCCAGGGTTTTGTGAGCGGCATCACTGGGATTGTCACCAAACCCATCCAAGGTGAGTCCTCTGTGGATCTGTCTCTTTCTGTTGGTCGTGTTACAGTCTTGAACCGAGCTCTGGTTTCCACAGGTGCACAGAAGGAGGGGGCAGCAGGCTTCTTTAAGGGATTGGGGAAGGGGCTGGTGGGAGCTGTGGCCCGTCCCACTGGAGGCATCATCGACATGGCCAACAGCACTTTCCAGGGCATCAGGAGGTCTGACATCACTCTCACTAAATGATCTATTTCCTCCCTTCAGAATCAGAATCAGAATCATTTTTATTGCCACGTAAGTAACAGGAGGTCACAGACTTGGAAATTGCTTTGGCTCAGTGCAACAGTCAGAGAATAAAAAATAAAGAATAAAAAACACTTCTAAGGAATAAATTTAAAATTAAAATAGAGTTACAATGCTAAAGAATATAAGTCAGTGACATTCTTATGATCAATATGACGTCAAGCCGATACCCTTAGACTTTGTATCTTTGCCTGATCACACGGAGACTACAGCGCACCGGTTTGTTTATTAATGCAATGCTCTCCCTGTAAGATGCTACTTAATACAATATATTTGTCTACATATGCCATCTTGCATGATATAGTATTATATTATCACTTATGATACTGTTATTCTCAGGCTTTTGAACCTGTAAACAATCCGCACCAGCTCAGGCAGGGGATGCTCCAACACGATAAAAATTCACAATGGCCTCATCACTATAAAAACCATAAGGTTTAATGAGCTTGTACGATGATCACCATAATTTGAATTTTGTAACGTTCACCAGAGTAACAAGACAAGAGACATTTGTCCCAGTTATTTCAGGAAACTTCAACTTCAATAAAACGGTTTGATTCATTAATACGCACAGATTTAAAACCCTGCAGGCACTTTGTCTTTAGTCCCAGTGTCACACAACAAACACAAGTATAATTCCAGGTGTTAGAAGGAACACGCTCTATCTGTTGCCATCTCCAAACAACTTTAACAACCTGCTGCTGTGTGTGCTCAGAGCTGCAGAGACGTCTCAGGACATAACGTCTTTACGTCCGCCGCGCTTCATCCACGAGGACGGAGTCATTCGCCCATATAAGGAGAGGGAGGGGCTCGGCAGTCAGATGCTTCAGGTAAATGCAGCAGTATTTAACATCTGTCTAAGTCAATCTTGAATCACACGACTTGCGGTCATAGCGTTCCCATCATTATCACCAATATCTCATCACAAAGACTTTTCACCATTCTACTTACTTTTCCAAGACCATAAATGAAAATGATACCACTATCTAATGTCATTAATTTCTAACACTTTTGCATGGTTCAAGTATGTTTAGTAATATTGATATCCATGACTTTAATTTTTTTAATCGAGTCCCAGCCCTTGTCTAAATATCAATCTAATTAATTAGAGGCTTTGTAATTAATTGATTGCAACTAATCACATTTTAATCTAATATAAATATTTGACCTATAGTAAGTAATTTTTTTCACATGGATTTTTAGTATACCATTGAATAATGACTGAATACATAAGCTTAAGCAACATAAATTCTGTTTTTTTATTAAGTCCAACTAGGGATGTAAAAAACTATGAATTTTCATGACCGACCACCGAGCCTCATTAACCGGTTGAAACCGGTTAACCGCGTAGTTTAAAATAGTCCACGTTCTTTGAAATAACAGCCATTTCGAGCCGCGTACTTTTCATAAGTGCAGCTCTGCGTTCTACTGGATCAGAGCCGAGACAGCGGCGCCCAAACCCGCAACAGCTCCGGCACCTTTGCGCACAGAGAACTGCTTTTTTAATCTTCCCATTCTGCTGTGCTGCGGGTTAATACCAAAACTTTCTAGCAGCAAACGACGGCTCGTTCACATGGTCAGAGCAGCGAGTGACGAGCCGCGTCTCACAGGTCTTCACAAAAGTTTAAATACAAGTGATGTGTGTGGAGCTGATCCCGAGGACCATAAACACAAACATGTTCCATGTGGTTTGACTGGAGCCGCGTATTTGCGCGAATCCTTTGGGCTCCGTGACACAGAGGAGCGCGACAGACCGGTATGTGTGTGTGTATGTATGTGTGTATGTATGTGTGTATGTATGTGTGTATGTATATGTGTGTGTGTGTAAATGTAAGCTCCAATGTAGTTCTGACCCGCGCCAGTGTGCAAATTTGACGGTAACAGAGGGGAGAGATGATGCGTGTGGATGTTACGTATGGAGAGGGGGAAAGTGTGTGTGTGTGTGTGTGTGTGTGTGTGTGTGCGGCGTAAGAGTCGTCCCGGAGTTTATAATACATGGGCGCACACAGCTAGATACAGACCCGCTCGTCACACCGTGCAAATAGGACTTAAAATGGCGTTATTAAGAGACCTCCCCTCTCCCCTTTTTCTCTTTTTTAACCGACAGCTTTGACCGGTTAACGCTGTGACGGTCAACCACCGGTTAAACGGTCGCCGATTTACATCCCTAAGTCCAACAGACCAGGACAATTTTTGCCATTAAGTGTTACACTTCCCATCCACAGGGCCAACCAACGCGGTCACATCAGCTTCTTTGTTTCTGGGAAGCCCACGTGAATTTAGTCTTGTTTAGTCTGCAGTACCGCGAGAATCCGCGAGCACATGGGTCCTTCAGCTCCAGGCTGTAATACCCTATCCCGTTATTAATAATAATATGATCTATTATATCTATGTATGTATGCATCTATCATAATATAATAGATACATACGCTTTGTATGCCCAAAATCCACTGCACTCACAGTGAGCACTAAAGCTGGGCATGCGCTGTTTGCTAAAGCTTTTATTATACGTTTTTTATGTGTACATTTGGACTAAACATCAGCAATAGCAGCTCACACACCTGTCTCGCTCCCCCTTCTCCTCCTCCTTCTTCTCCTCCGCTCACACACAGGAGTCGCTAGCGTCCATCGCTCCATACACAGCGCTCATTCCCATCTCTAACTCACTCGGATTTAGACACCGCTAAAGTTGTTTTGACAGCTCCGTAAAGTTTTCTCCGAAGGACCCCACTGCGTACATAGCCGCCCTCGTGCCTGCCTGCCTAAAAATGGCACAAATAAGTACAATTAAAATGCGTAATTTTTTTAATGTGCACATTTTTTTGTAATTCCTTAATCTTGATTAACGCGTTAAAGTCCCAGCCCTAATTTAGACATCTTCAGACTGAACTTTTCTCAAGCCTTTTCTGAATTGTGTCTAAGATTATATTTTTTCTTTAATTTAATCGGTTATAAATTAAAAACTTGTTCTCTCCTGTTGCTGTAACTCGCTGCAATTCATTTCTAAAATCTGATCCAACTGTGTTCTATACTATACCTGCAGAATGTGTGATGTTTGTGTGTTCTTCTCCTGTGTGTTCATGTTTGTATTATCCCCAATGAGAGGCCTCTACATGTTTGTTAGACCCTCATCTTTTTAACTGCTTTTGCTTTGACTCTGACTAAACTCATGTTCGGCTCCTGGCTTGTTTTTTCCCCTGGCTTCTGGAGCAGTTTGACTGGGGCATGTGGCTGCAACTTTTAACATTTGCAATTCAGGTTTGGTCTCAAACTTTTAGCATTGTAGAGTTTGTTCATAGTCGTAGTCGTGCTGTAGTTGTCGTAGTAGTCGTAGTAGCTGTAGGTAGTAGTCGTTGTAGTAGGTAATCATAGTTGTAGTCATAGTCTAGTTGGTTGTTACTAAATGTACACATTTTCTGAAAAATTGCCTTTTGCCGTTTTAATCAATTGCAACGTTTCCATATTAGTTTTTATGTTAGCATTTTCTGATGTGTTTTAATTCCTTGCATAGAAGATGCAAGGAACTGACACCAGCAAGAGAAGCTCCATTTAAGTCTCCATTTTTAGACTGGACAAGAGAAGCGTTTACCTGCTAAGTTTGTTTCACGTTTGTGCAGCAGAATGTCTATTCGGCCCCGGAGTTCAGCAACTTCTGCTGCACATATTCTAGTTTTAAACAATTAGAGCCACAATGAATGACACAGAATGTCAGGGAGAAGAAGATGCACCAACAACTTCATCCACAATTGAAACAAAGATTAAAAATGAAGGCAAAAGGTTCTTGTGGCCGTATGCTTTCACCCTGATCAGTCTGATGATAGTCCTGTAGCTAAGACCTCAGACTCCTGCTTTCTGCAATATCAGACTTTTAGATTACTAAGTTAGTGTGTGCTGTAGTGTTCAAAAAGAAATTAAAGTTATTAATTTGGTACTTTTGTTGTGGTGTTTGTGAAGGACAGATGTGACTGGGCTCTTTGTGTTTTTGGGTTTTACAGTCGAGCCAAGATGAGGGAGAGAAGAATGAAAAGGAGGAGGAGGAAGAGAGCAGCTAGTTAAACCATCCACTTTCACTGTTTTGTATTTTATATTTTCATGAATAAATGTGACTTTTCCTTCATGTTTCTTCATCTTATGATTTGTCCCACTCCCACATCATCCATCTTTTCTTTGCTACAACCTGTCGTATAAACCACAGCTCTCTTTGCAGATCTACTCTTTGTTTGAATATATATTTTGTTCCATACTTTGAACACTCAGGCCCTGAAAAGTGCTGGGTTAGTTTAAATTAGACGCATATTATGAAGTTCTCAACTTGAGGTGCAAAAGTTAAGTTCATTTGTTAATTCAAATCTTTGTGAATTGGTCAATTTAACAAATCTAGATAATACAAAGCACACTCCTCGCAGAAAACACGCTTCACTTTTGTACTTGACGTTTTCCATCCATCCATTTTCTTCCCCTTAATCCATTTCTGGGTCGGGGGGGTGGCAGTCAGAGCTGCACCCAGTACACAGAGCACCAGCCCCTCACTGATCCTCCTGCAGGTGGTGAGTCCACAGGAGCTGAGAGCTTTCAGTTGGGGCTTTAGGCAAAGTGGGGTTAAGTGTCTTGCCCAAGGACACAACGACAGCAGTCATCAGTGGGAGTCGTGAAGTAGGTCTTACGGTGGGCTCGAACCCACAACCTTCAGGCCCAAAGGCCAATGCTCTACCAACTGAGCTACTGTCGCCCTCGCACTTGACGTTTTATAAATAAGAAAAACAATAGATGTTATATCTAACACTTTGTATCCCAGCAAAAAACTCCCATCAGGCTTCATGTGTGGGAATCAGAAGCCAGATTTGGGCATGCCAACGACATACAGTAGCAAACAAATAGCCAATCAGGATCGAGAGTGCTCTGTTAGGTACCACTTGTGTTATTTTCTTTCTGAAGTTGAATTCGGGACAGAAAGCATCTTAGTGGTCAAATACTAGAAATTATATCTGAAATTGACCTCACTCTTCTTGGCAGCTTATATAATACTTGTGGATTAGAGAAAATACAAATTAGAAAATGTCCAATTATCAAAGTGAAATCTCCTTATTCATAGTTTCAGCTTTTTGAAGACATAAATAAAATACTTATAAAGATAATTTTACTTCACAGATTGACTGCAGATGACATGATCCACAGCATTTAACTTTTCTTGTCATATTAATATTTCTGTTGTATGTGACAGAGCAGGGTTATTGTTGCCATTGAGCTTTTATTCAGAAATCACGTCCTGTGAACTCTGTGTGTGCCCCCCTGTTTGGGAAACACTGACCTTCAGAGCATCAGGGAAGTTATGAGGCCACTGAGACCTAAGAAATTAAACACTGTCTAATCACAACCACATATTCCATTTCTCTTTCAGAAAATTGAGAACGGGCGCTTTGCCAAGTACAGGTACTTTGCCCACGCCAAAGTTAATGACTCGGACTTCCTCATGATCACAAAGAGGTAAGTGTTTCTGCAACATCGACATTTTCCCACAGTGGGATGAAGGAAGGTTCTATTATCTTATCTGAGTAAATTAAGTGAGTTTCAATGGGGTTATCATTTAAACATATGTAAGTGAAATATATAAGAATCTTTTGGGGGTGCTCTGGCTGTTCTAGAGGGAGCTTGAACCTGAGATGGGGACTCACGACTTAAGTCACTATTTCTATTAGACTTGCGACTTGACTCGTGCTTGTCTCCTAAACACTCAGACTTGACTCGTGGCATTACACCATAATGCCAAATCAAAATATGAATTAAGAGGTGGCTATGGTGGCCTGGTGGCTTAGATATTTAAGGCTGGAAAATAAATACACTCTAAAAAACCATTACAATTAATTCACATTTTGTAGCCCTTTTTAAATTGTATTAATTTAATAAGAATTATTATAATGCATAGAAAATGAGACTTGGACTTACGGGTGAGAGACTTGTGTGCATCTCTGGCTTGAGCACCCCCAAAGCCCCTCCTGGTGCCGCTGATGCGGCAGAGTAGAGGCTTGTTTCACATTTTCCGGAAAGAATGTTCAGATTTGAGCTGCATACATGTGAATCAAGTACAAATATTACAAAGTCTTTCATATGAATATTGGGTTGAAACATGCGTGTTGTGTCCAGGGGAATCTTCTTCGTGACCAAAGGGACGTTCGGGCAGCTGACCTGCGAGTGGCAGTATCTGTTTGAGGAGTTCACCAAAGAACCCATGATTGTAGAGGACCGCAGGCTCCGCATCGAGGCCAAGGTTAGACTTAGATCTGAACACACACTACAGCAACACAGGATAAAGACTGCATAAAAGTGAAACAATATCATTTTTAGCGTTAGTTTTTTCAGGTCAGCTCTACAAACATTTGTCATTATAAGATTATTTTCCTGCGCTTCATTTTGTTGACCGAAAGCGCTGAACAGCCTCATCTTGACGACTTCCTCACTGGTAGTTTCACTGAACGAGTCTTTTTGCTTTTCCTCCAGGAGCGAGTCAAGTCTGTGTTTCACGCCAAAGAGTTTGGGAAGATCATTAACTTCAAGACTCCGGAGGTCGCCAAGGTCTGTGGATAAAGCATCAGTGCTTTTAACCATTTTACAATTGACTTTTTCTTCTCATTAATCCTCTGTTATTAGAGTTTGTGTCGTCTTTGATATCCTGTATTAAAGACACATTTACTTCAAGTTTCTGTTGAACTTCCCCATATTTTTTATCCTTTTATTCATGCTACAACTTGTGCAAAATACAATGAAACTAACACAGAAGTAAATACACTCACCGGCCACATTATTAGGTACACCTATTAAACTCCACTTTAACACAAATTCCTGATCAGCCAATCACATGGCTGCAACTCGATGCATTTAGGCATGTAGACATGGTCAAGACGATCTGCTGCAGTTCAAACCGAGCATCAGAATGGGGAAGAAAGGGGATTTAAGTGACTTTGAACGTGGCATGGTTGTTGGTGCTCAATCTAATAAAGCAACTTTGGGATGTGGTGGAACATGAGCATCTTGGATGTGCAGCTGACAAATCTGCAGAAACTGCATGTTGCTATAAAATATGGACCAAACTCTCTCAAGAATAAGATAAGAGATAAGATGTGCTTTATTTATCTCACAGAGGAGAATGTGTCCAGTACCTTGTTGAATCAATGCCACAAAGGATTAAGACAAAAGGCAACAAAAAGGCAAAAGGGGGTCCAACCCGGTACTAGCAAGGTGTACCTATTAAAGTGGTCGGTGAGTTTATAGTAGTTATAGTTACACAATGTTCATGGGAGAAAAAAAATCTAATAAATATATTTAAAATTCAATTAGTCTTATTATTATTGTATAGCACTAATTCAACAAGAGTATTATCCATCCATCCATTTCCTTCCGCTTTATCCGTTGCCGGGTCGCGGGGGCAGCAGTCTAAGCAGAGACGCCCAGACTTCCCTATCCACACACACTTCCTCCAGCTCGTCCGGGGGGACCCCAAGGCGTTCCCAGGCCAGCTGAGAGACATAGTCCCTCCAGCGTGTCCTGGGTCTTTCCGGGGTCTCCTCCTGGTGGGACTTGCCTGGAACACCTCTCCAGGGAGGCCTCCAGGAGGCATCCGGAACAGATGCCCGAGCCACCTTAACTGGTTCCTCTCAACGTGGAGGAGCAGCAGCTCTACTCCGAGCTCCTCCCGTGTGACTGAGCTCCTCACCCTATCTCTAAGGGAGCGCCCAGCCACTCTGCGGAGGAAGCTCATTTCGACCGCTTGTATCCGCAATCTCGTTCTTTCAGTCATTACCCAAAGCTCATGACCATAGGTGAGGGAGGGAACGGAGATTGACCGGTAAATTGAGAGCTTTGTCTTTCGGCTCAGCTCCCTCTTTACCACAACGGTCCGATACAGCGACCGCATCACTGCACACGCTGCACCGATCCGCCTGTCAATCTCACGCTCCATTCTTCCCTCACTCGTGAACAAGACCCCGAGATACTTGAACTCTCCTCCACTTGGGGAAGGACTGCTCCACCCACCCGGAGAGGGCAAGGCACCTTTTTCCGGTTGAGCACCATGGCCTCAGATTTACAAAGTTGTCTCCAGGACTGAGGCTGTAGATCCTGTAGCAAAGGATCATAAATGCATGAGCTTGTTGATATTTTTCTTATTCTGTGGGACTCCCAGACAGACAAGAGAGGTCTCTAGATGTTTATGTACAGATGTGTTTGAAAGTACCATTCATACTAAATAACCAAATGTCTAATGTTTTTCAGTGGGTTCTGTCCAAACTGGAGGACGCCAGAGAAAGTCTGCATAAATACTGACCCCTAGTGGCCGACCGTCTCCTCAGTGCCTTTGTCTCCTGGAGGAACATGGGGTGACCTGTGCATGCCTGAACAAGTGCTTTACCAAACATATATTTACACGACTAGCTCCTTTACCTCAATACGTACCACGTTTTAAGTCGTAGTTTACACATTCTGCTCCCGCTGCTATGAACAATTATTATTTCACACTGAACCAATAGAAAAAGCAGATTCATTTTGCCTAACAACCAAACTCGCCAAGACTCATCTGCCATTGATACGTGATTGCACACATATAATATATAGTTTTACATGATTGCCAAGATGATGCATGGTTTTTATACAGTCTGTCTGTTGTTGAATGAATTAAATGTTGTAAATATATATCTAAATCTAAAAGCAGTAGTCTGTATAAAGGGATTGCTTAAGGTGTGATTTTTAAGTTTTATACCAGAATTATGCAATGCCAACTCCCGCACAATGCCAACACATATTTAATAACTGATGCCTATTTTTTTTTAAACCAAAAAGCGACTAATTTTTGTTGATATTTGTGTTTAGGTTTCTAACTGGAATGGGTGTGATAAAATGTAATGTTTGTGGCTGTGAATTTATCTGCGTATCCAAACAAAAGAGCAGAGACCATGTTTTAAAGGTTTTATTTTAACAGCTACATTTCTTACTCACATTATGTTTACTTAACATTCTCCTCTAGACTCGCCTCTCGTCAAACTGTAAAGGAATTAAATAAAATAATAAAACAGAAGGATGTGCTTATTTTCCCACACAATATCCACTTATATTATATATATATATATTTGTTTGTATAAATTATTATTAGGTTACTATTTACAATGACTTTAGTAGAACACGCTAAAAGGCACAAAAACATGTATGAGAGAATGGCATAAAAAACAGACTTTTATTGGATGTTTTATTAAATATAAATATTTATGATTTTATGTAAATACATTCAAGTTCTTAAAGGTCCAGTATGTAACATTCACTCTTAGTGCTCTAATAACCTTATTACAATCATGTCAGCACTGATTGGAAGAACAAGCTGGTTGCCATCACCACAGATGGAGCATCTGTAATGACAGGAGTAAACAATGGTGTAGTTACAAAACTGCGTGGAGACAGCTCAAGTGTGCTTGGGATCCACTGCATGGCCCATAAGCTTGAACTCTCCTTTTCGGACGGAATAAGGAAGAATGTGATGGTCAGGAAAGTTGAGGACCTGTTGAGTGGACTCTACACCTTATATCATAAGAGTGGTGTAAACAGGGCCAGCCTAAAGGAACACTTCAGGGAGCTCCACATGAAAGCTTTGATGCCAACCAGAATAGGTGGAACCCGGTGGCTACCACATCTCTTCAATGCACTTGACCATTTTCTCAGGGGATATGCTGGCATTGTCCACCACTTAGAGGAGAAGGTATGCTAATTTATAGCCTAATAAAATTAGTAGGGTTTCAATTTTAAATGTTGTATATGATATAATTATAGTTGTTTTGTTTGTAGTCCCAGGATACCACACACACCAATGCTGTTCTGAGGGCAAAGTTCAAGGGGTTCCTCAACATAGCCAAGAATGGTGTAGTGCTCAGGTTTTGCTGCCTTCTCCATGACACCATCTATCAACTGAAAAACCTCTCCAAGTCACTGCAGCGGTCCGTGTCAACCCTGGCTGAAGCTCAGAGATGCCTGTCTTCCACTCAGGCTGTTATAGAAAAGTACAAGTCAAGGTATGAATCCTACCATGTATGCTTTGATTTTAGGTTGTGTTGGTGTGTTTTCAAATCGATGCATGGATGAAAATACACTCATCCATTTATCTGCACAACTTTAGACCTGGGCCAAAGCTGAGATCAGTGCTGGACACAGACACCTATGAGGGAGTCCTCCTGAAGCCTTCTGATGCCGGCCAGCATGACAAGGCAAAGAATGAGCTGATCGATTCTCTGTGCCAATGCATCACTGCAAGATTTAGTGATGTGAACAGTGGTGTCCTGCATGCTATGCGACTGGCTAGTTTCCAGTGCTGGCCAGAGGCAGACACGAGTTCCGGTTTGTAATGGACAAATCTTTTCAATGCATTTCATGATTTAAGACAACTTCTGAACTTTGTAGTAATGCTTTCCCTTGTTCTCAGATTTTGGTGATGAGGAGATTAACAAGCTGATTAGTCACTTCCGACCTCTTCTGCTGTCTGCTGGTGTGGATGTGGACTTGATCCCTGATCAGTGGACTATTCTCAAGGCTGAACTGTACACAGCAGGATTTAGCCAAGGTACTTGAAAAATCACACAGATATACCTGATATATAAGTGCTTAAAAAGCTAAATGTTTAATAGTGTAAGACAGTTTTATTTTGTTTATCAGGAATCGGAGCAAATTTAATTTGTTAAAAGTGCAATACAAATTTTGATGACATCTTTTAATAACAACATAAAGTTGCATTTTAAAATGATTGTTTGCAAGAGTATAATGTTGTCTGACCCTGCAGCAGGAACCATTGAGAAAACCTGGCCTACTGTGAACAGAATGCTGCGCCATCGGTGTCCTGACATCCTTGACCTATTTGATGCTCTCCTCACCATTCCTGCAAGTACAGCTGACTGTGAAAGAGGGTTCAGTGTTATGAAGCAGGTAAAGAGTGACTGGCGTTCACGCCTGAAAGGTGAGTCCCTCTCTGACCTCCTGAAAACCCAGTTGTGTTCACCTGACATCAAAGACTTTGATCCAACCAAAGCCATCAACATCTGGCATGTTGACGGTTTACGCAGACGCAGGCCTGAGTTTGTGCGCAAAAACATAACCAAAGAAACTTCAGATTCAGAGGAAGAAGCGAGTTCAGAGAGCTCTGAAGATATTTGATTCTGAGAGGGAACTTGTTAATTATCCAACTTGGAAATGATATAGTTAAGTTAAGTTTATAACAGTTTATAACTGTGTATAGTCTGTTCTGTGTATTGCACTTTCTGTGCGTTTTTCATGCACTGTTAATAAAATTATCACATTTTCATTCAGTGGCATTCATAATCTCTTATTTTCACAACGTAAAAATTTGGCTAATGGAAATTCTGATTGGCTGGTAACTTCAGAAAGTCACCAGCCACTTTGGCTGGTGATCAAAAAAGTTAATTTCGAACCCTGCTTACAATCTAAATTTAGTTTCCAAACTCTTCCTGACTCTTCCTTCTAAACTGCCTCCAATTTAGACCAGATTCCTTTCACCTAAAGGAGAGCCACATTCTGATCTGATTGGATAATAAAAATTAATACAATAGACATCATGCCCATTTGTATTTTCAATAATAACTATCCTTCATAAAAGCTCAGTACATTTGTTTGTGTTAATAATCTGAGGATGTAGATGTCATTCAATGTCACATACTGTCCCTTTAATTTGCGTTACATTATTCTGTGTGAAGACGAACTCTTCAAAGTGATGTTTAAGTGTCCGTCCTCACTCCAGAAGGCGACAGTCCATTCAGAACAAACAAACATTGAACCTGAGTCAGATCAGTGCTGTACGTACATCCTCCTGAAACTGTTTTACTTTAGAAAACATTCTGCTGATTCTAAGCAGTGGGACTTTACAGAGAACCTTTCAGACACAAATCAGAGCTTCAGAGTAAGACCATGTACTAATGCAGACAAACTACTGTTCTTAACTTGCAGCGTTGACGGTAATGGCATGTTACACCTCATGTCAACTATTCTAAAATGTGAACCCAATGTGTAAAAGAAGTTAAATAGTTTAAATATTAAAACAAAAATCATTGGCCAATTGTTTTTCAATAACATCTGTTATATATTTACTCAACCATATATAAAACTATATATATACTATACTATACTATACTATATAAAATATCAACTCATTTTGTCCAGAAACAAAAGTGAAAAAAATATTCAAACTCATGTTGGATAAAATTAATTTGTCAAAAATACCTTCATAATGTAAGAAACAATTGTGGTATTTACAGCTAGTTAAGAAGAAGCATTACTACTACTTATATGTTGTGTGCTCTCATGACTGGCCTCCAACATTTCCCCACTAAAGTAAGTTTTTGGGAAAAATACCACTTTTACATTTTCAGCCTCCACCAGCTTTTTTTTCATAGACCTGCAGCCCAAATGAGTTTGACACATGCTGCTGTACTCTATGTCTGGTATAAAGGGAGATTGTCAACACAGAGAGGGTAAATGTGTGTGTGGTTCAAGAAACTTGAGCATTTGAACATGTTAGTAAATGACCTGGGAAACAGACCGTACATTATCAGCACTATGGCTTCTTTAAAGTCTTGGATGAATCTAATCCGTCAGACTGATGAATATTCCTGTTTCCTGTAAACAACTGTTCAGTAAGAGGGACACTGTAGTTAGACTTTTCCAGGGCCTAACAACCCGGACTCTAGCTCTAAAGCTAAGCATGCTTTAAGCTTTAAAATGACCCATGACGCAGGTGAATTTGGCTGAATGACGAATGTTTACCATCTCACCATTCTAATGACAGCATATACAAATACAAGATTCTATGCTTTGCGAGGTACAGCACGTCTGCATTGACTGAGCTGAAGTTGGCTGGATGACACTGTTTATGATCTTAAAGACTGCTTGGGGAATGCGGCAGAGTCCTTGGCCTGATAGACACTGACACCAAAGATATATGTTGTTGGACAATGTATTGATACAGAGATGTATTGCTCTTTACTCTGCCGCGATTAATGATATAAAATGTATTACAATATATAAATATATTTGTACAAAGCCTGAGAAAAACATGGAAATGAGGTCTGGCCCCGACAGCAGGCTGATATTCCCATGTAGCCCTCAGGAGGGAAAGTTTGCCCATAGCGGGTCTTTATCATAAAAAGTCATAAGTTGAAACAAGTTCACAGCATTAATGAGCCGTATTAGTGACTTATTCAACTCGAACTGTAGTGTCACAATCAAAAAAGCAAAAATACAGGTGAATAAACGATAAATCAATATTGTAATGACCCTGACTGGCCTGAAGGTGCTGCACTTTTAGAGGTGTGTCTGTGACTGACTTTTGAGGTTGAATGAGGAGAACAAGCAAACAAGAAACAGCATAAAGACTGTAAAAATATCATCAATTAATGGAAATTAATAGATTATGGAAACAGCTGTTTTTGAAACTTGCAAAAAGCTTTTATGACTCAGACATTCTAAAGAGGATCTGAGTCATAATAAAATGTGTTTGGTTTTTTTATCTAAAAAGTTCACTCTATGAAGGTGTTCTCCAGGGGCATCACTGTCAAATGATTAAATAATCCCTTTTGGGATCTAAACAACTAATTGATTACCGTACTTTCTGGACTATAAGTCACCCCTGCATATAACCCACACCAGCAACACAAACAAGTGTCCTATAACTACTAAAACTTGATGGAGTCCAAAAGACAAGTCCATAAACTCTGCTCTGACAACACGGAGGCTTCCATTGACCCTTGATTCTGCTCAAAACTTCTGTTTTCAGACTTCAGGTTAGCTCTTAGCGCAGCTTACACAACTCCAGGTCTGAGCCGAAGAAAGCCATACGTGGTATGTCAAGAATAATACGACGTTCTCAGAATTTAAAATGGTTTAAAACATCTCCACTTTTGTTGTGGAGATGTTTGTCCATTTACACATGTTTTCATCCCACGTCGTTATTGTAATTGGAGGGAATTGTGGAAACCCCAACTTTAGTAAGAGATGTCGCCGAATGTTACAGTTTCATTGAAATATTTCACACAAGAAAATAACGTCTGATCGGAGTTTCAGAATGTAAACAGCAAGTTCTTAGCAGAAAAAGGAAGTAAACCCGTGATTCTACAGAAAATTGTCTATGTTAGCTGCAGGGATCAAAGTACTAGAAAAAATTTAGCAGTTTTTAGCTCAGAAATTACAGTAATTAAAAGAGTTGTTAGTTACAGCCCTAGTGTTACTGTTGCACTGACCAAAAAGGACACATAGATTTGTTTTTATGTCTAAGTCCTGCTGGTCCAGGCGCACTCAGAGGTGCGGTCGTGTGCACCGCGGCCTCACACCAGGTTGAACTCCCGCAGGTTGTGGCGCAGGATGGTGTCTTTGACGGCCACAAACACAAAGCGGATGTTCTCTGTGTCGGTGGCGCAGGTGAAGTGATGGTACAGCGTCTTCTCTTTGTCCGGGTTTTGATCCTGGTACATTTTCAGGATGAAGTTTTGGGCAGATTCTACGTCCTTCTGCGGACCTGCGAGGAATTACAAAACACGGTTGTTGACTAAACACATTCTGCCCCACTGAGGCTAATGTCTGCCCACAATTTAGTACTAGACCACAACTGAGATGGAGACAGGAGGAGAGCGATGTGTGTTTGAATCATTTAAAGGAGACATTTTTGAGCTACAACATGCAGGCTGAGCTCTCCTGGTTGTGTTGTGCGACTGACCGGTGAACTCTGGGAAGTATGTGGCAATGTGAGAGTACAGGATCTTCTCCTTCAGGATGTCTGTCTTGTTGAGGAACAGAATCACGGACGAGCGCTGGAACCAGGGGTAGTTGATGATGGTTTTGAACAAGGCTTTGCTCTCCTCCATGCGGTTCTACACACACACACACACACACACACACACACACACACACACACACACACACACACACACACACACACACACACACACACACACACACACACACACACACACACACACACACACACACACACACACACACACACACACACACACACACACACACACACACACACACACACACACACACACACACACTTAGTGTCAGACTGGGGTTTAGGCAAGACAAGTGAATTTGTAAAGCACAGTTGATACACAAGGCAACTAAAAGTGCTGAACAAAAGATAGAGACAACAAGGCTTTGTGAATAATCACTGTGATATAAAAAGAGTGATGATATAATCCCTCAGATGTATGCACAGCTAAACAGGACTGATTAAACCTGGATATGGGAGCCTATCTCACATTTTTAAGGAAGAGTGTTCCAGATTTTAGCTGCATGAATCTGAAATGCAGCCTCCCCATGTTCAGTCCTGACTCTGGGACCAGCAGGAGCCCAGTCCCTGTGCTCCTCAGAGTTGCTTCATATGACACTAACATGTCATGGATGTACTTTGGCGCGAGGCCATGGAGTCTGCTTTAGACACCTATACTATACTAACACAATCGTGATCAAATCTGACTTCAACAAAACCAATTCTTTTGTAGATTTTCCGAGTTGGCAATTTAGGCGCTGGGTGGTATATTACCCTTTGTGGTTTATCAACATAATTTTAAGATACGATGAAGCTGAAATATTGCGATTCATTTGTGTGTGTGGCCAATGCTCTGCTCAGCTGCTGTGGCCAGATGCATTAAAGCTGATACACCTAACTTTCGCTGTTGTTTCATGAATACATGTGTTTGTCCCAACAGAAAAAGTAACAATAACTGTGTGAACAAATCAGACCACTAACACAGATCATATTATGCTTCATCCTTTTAGAAAACATTTGATCTTTTACACAGTGAGGCCTTATACTATGTTTGTGTAATATTATGTCTCATATTCTCTTTGTTTCTTTCACATGTGATTATTTTACTGTGTTGTTAACGTTACATGTGACACTATAAATGATCTGTCTATCTGAAAGGCTGATCTAAACATTTATAGTCCACAAATACATGCATGTGAAAACTAGAGACGGAGCCGAACAGTTGCGAGAGCGATAAGACGTATTTGTTGAGCATTTATTAGTTATTTTGTTGACACTGTGTAGTTTGACTATCGCGGAAAGATGCGAAAACGCTAGAGAGGCGCTACAGAGGGACTGTGTGAGTAACTATCCGTTCAAATCCCCATGTTGCTGAGTCCAGAGCTGTGGTTCAGGCTGTTACGTCCAATGACAGTTTATATAAGGCTGTGGATCAATTAAGCCAGGAGATGCATGCTATGAGGATGGAAAATGAAGAGTGTTTATGAAGAAAACCAGAGACTCAGGAACAGTGATATGGGCCAGAGGCAGTTCGTGGGGCGCCGGTCTGGTTTTGGGGGACGTTGTGAGTGCACCTGCGGTGAGCCTGGCTGTCAAGGAAGGTGGGCAATGCAGAGACGTCAGGGTCGCTCGCCCGAGCGCGGAGCTGTTTCCCCCCCTGGTAATCTCGCTGCGCGCACCCCACAACGTACAGGCCAGTCTCCCGAGTTCCGTCCACCACGAAGCAGGAGTCCCAGCCCCGGATGGCGTGCCCGTCGTGAGGAAGGATCCTGGAGGCGTGGTGTTCATTTCCAGCAGCAGAGTTCTCCCAGGGATCCCGAGCATCAGGGAAACTTCCAGTAGCTGGTGTTATGGCCCAAACACCGGCTTTTCCTCGGGAGGGCCCAATGTTCACAGATGATGTAGATGTGGGGTTGGAAAAATACCCTACTGCCTACGTCCGGGGGGTCATTGAAGGGGTGGAAGCGTCAGTGTTGGTTGACTCTGGGGCTTCTGTGTCTTTAATTAGTTCCGATTTCCGTATGGCGGTTCCCACACTGCGCGGACGGCCATTGAAGAAGGACTTTATTGGCTCACGGGCAGTAAATGGACAGACACTAGACACACTGGGCACTGTAGACGTGTCTCTTCACTTGGGCCGGGCCTCTTGGCGGCACACTTTTCATGTGCTGAGGGAGTCTACTCAGGCGGTCCTATTGGGGTTGGACTTTCTGGCAGTGAACAGGGCGTTGCTCGACCTGGGGCGGGGGGTTTTGGAGATCGGTGATACGTGCCTCCCCTTGCTTTACCAGGCTCAGCTTGTCCCTGAGTGCTGCAATGTATCTCTGGCCGATGGTGTGATTATACCTCCCTTAAGTGAGGCTTTGGTGCCAGTTCATGTGCGTCCACCGGGTGGTGCTAACAGGCCAGTAACTGACTTTGAGGGCTATTTGGAACCAAATGTCCCTGATTCGGCTGGTTTAGTCGTAGCTCATACCATGGCTAATGTGAAGAATGGGGTTACTGTTGCGCGTGTTCTCAATCCCTCTGGGAAAGCAGTGGAGCTCAAGCAAGGGCTGCACATAGGGGAATTTTATCCTATTCACGAGGTTGGTGCACCATCGGTGGTGCCCACTTCAAATAAATCTTCTGTCCCGTGTATGGTCACAGACTCTCCAGTCAACAAGCGACAGAGGGCTGAATTACAGGAGCTTTTGAGTCGTTTTAGTAACGTGTTTAGTACCCCAGATGGGAACACTGGGAAGTGCTCTTTAATCCAACACCACATTCGCACTGGTGATAACCCCCCAATTAAGCAGCGGGCATATCGGACGTCTCCTGAGAAAAGGGCAGAGATTGAGCGTCAGGTGGGTCAGCTACTGGCAGATGGCCTGGTGGAGGAGAGCTTCAGTCCCTGGGCCTCACCAGTCGTGCTCATCAAGAAAAAAGGGGGTCAGTGGAGGTTCTGTATCGATTACCGCCGTCTTAATGCGGTTACAATTAAAGATTCGCACCCGCTGCCGCGTGTGGACGACAGCTTGGATGCGCTGGCCGGGTCAATGTGGTTCAGCACATTGGACTTTTCGAACGGATACTGGCAGGTGGAAGTTGCCGAGGAGGATCGTGAAAAGACCGCCTTCACGACCGGTAGGGGAATATACCAGTGGCGGGCCATGCCAATGGGCCTGTCCAATTCGCCTGCCACCTTCCAGCGTATGATGGAGCTAGTCCTGCGTGGTCTCCCCTGGCACACCTGCCTCGTATTTCTGGACGACATTTTGATTTTCAGTCGAACATTTGAGGACCATCTTGGCCATTTGGGGGAGGTGCTGACAAGGATAGATTTGGCCGGACTGAGATTGAACAGCAGCAAATGTCATTTTGCAAAGGACCATGTAGTGTTTTTGGGACATGTGGTGTCTAGAGATGGTCTCCGCCCGGACCCTCGGAACACTGATAAAGTGAGGTCATGGCCGACACCGACCTCTGCTGCTGAGGTCCGTGCTTTTGTGGGCCTGTGCTCCTATTATAGACGTTTTGTGCAGAACTTTTCCCAGCATGCGGCTCCACTCAATCATCTGGCCAGTAAAAATGTCCCTTTTAAATGGACGTCAGAGTGTGAGGCAGCATTCACCTTTTTGAAACATCGTCTGACCTCCTCCCCTGTAGTGGTGTCACCAGACTTTTCTCGCCCCTTTAAAGTTTACACCGATGCGTCAAAGGACGCTGTTGGGGCGGTACTGGCGCAGGAGAATGACGGTTTGGAACATGTAGTGGCCTACGCCAGTCAAGCCCTCACTCACACCCAGAAATGCTGGTCCACCTTTGACCGTGAACTGTGGGCGGTTGTCTGGGCTGTGCGCGAGTTTAAACATTATGTGGGGCTGTCAGCATTCACTATTGTTACTGACCATCGTCCTCTACTAGGCCTTCGTGGCATGTCCATTGACAATGACCCTACTGGTAAACGGGGGCGGTGGATCCTGGAGTTGGATCCCTTTAATTGGGCCATCATCCACAAGGACGGATCACGGCATTTGAATGCGGATGCGTTGTCCCGCCGCCCTGCTGAGGCCACAGCTCCTGCCATTGACTGTGTGAATGTGATTGATGTTGGGGGGGCGAATAGTCATGACCAGGCTAGGGAGTCGTTACCCTCCTCTCCAGTGTACTCTCTCTGCTGTGATGAGGCCAGGTTGCGGTCCCTGCAGCAGGATGACCCAGACATCAGGGTAGTGCTCGGGTGGTTAGAGAGGGGTGTAGGTAGGCCACCTCGTTGGGAAGTTAAGGGGTCTTCTCTCTGTCTCCGGAAATTGTGGGCTGAATTTGGTCGCTTCTCTATCAATGAGGGACTGCTGTGTAGGACAGATAGCCCCACAGTCTCCGGCCTGGAGCGGTTGCAGGTTGTCATCCCGTCCTCTCTGGTCCCTGATCTACTCCAGCATCTTCACGGGGGGCCGGCTGCTGCGCACTTCTCTGTGGATCGGGTCTGGGAGAAGGCGAGGCAGTCTTGCTGCTGGCCTTTTATGCTTAGAGACATAAGACAGTGGTGTGAGCAGTGTAGGGCTTGTCAGACTCGCAGGTCGCCTATTCCTAAGCCTAGGGCGCCCATGGGGGTTATGCAGGTGTGTCGTCCTCTGCAGCGTGTGGCGGCTGACATTTTAGAGCTACCTGTAACCTCTCGGGGAAATAGGTATGTTTTAGTTGTAGAGGACTACTTTACAAAGTATGTTGATCTGTATGCTTTGCCTAATCAGACAGCTAACACTGTTGCTACCTGTTTGTTTAATGACTATGTGTTGGTACATGGGGTTCCTGAGATGCTTCACACTGACCAGGGTCGCCAGTTTGAGGCTGAGGTCATCCAGACTCTGTGTAAACTACTGTGTATTAAGAAGACTCACACGACTGCGTACAACCCAAAGTCGGATGGCATGGTGGAGCGCCATAACAGGACATTGATTGACCAACTTGCTAAGATGTTACTGTCTCAAGGGGGTGAATGGGATGGATTTACAAAGCAGGTTGCTTTTGCGTATAACACTTCACCCCATGCTTGCACTAAGTTTTCTCCCTTTTATCTGATGCATGGCCGCGAGGCCCGGGTCCCAGCAGATGTTCTTGTATCTAACCCTGTGTTCAACTCTGTGGGGGCGGGATCTGTGTCTGACTATGGAGATATGTTAGTTAAAAGGTTGGAGTTTGCATTTGGTGCGGCCAGGCTTCATGCATTGGAGGCCTCTGAGAGACAAAAACTTTACCATGACCAGACAGTGTGTCATCGGCCGTACGGTGTTGGAGCGTTGGTGTAGCTGAACAATCCAACGGAGAGCCGTACTAAATTAGCGCCGCATTGGAGGGGCCCGTACCAGGTGGTGCAGGTATTCTCGTCAGGGGGTGAACCAGCTCTGACCTATGACATCATTAATCCGCTGGATACTCAGGAGCGGAGTCAGGTGGTTCATCATGACAGACTCAAACCATACACTCTGCCGCTCCCTGCTCGGTCCCCTGCTAGTCGGGTTGTCGCATCGGACCCTTTCTTGCATGGAGGGGAGGCAAGTTTGGAGCCAGCGCTGGCCCAGCCGCAGCAGTCTCGGTCGGGACGTCTTGTTAAAGCCCCTTCACACCTCAAGGACTTTCTAGTTTGAGTTGGGCAGAGTCATTGTTCTTTGTTGTGTGTTTTTTTTGTTGCTTTTGTTTATTATGGCCCTGGTTTGAGGCAGGTTATTATATGAACCGAGGACGTTTCTTATGAAGGGGGGGACATATGTAACATACTGTTTAGGATTTTACATCAGGCAGTTAAGTGGCCACCCTTGGTTATGCTGTTATGATTTGAATGTGAGAAATAAAGCCAGAGCCGGTACGGCTGCAGTTGGAAAAGCGTCTCTCGTGTGTGCTCTCAGAGCTAAATACATTTTTACAACACTACCTAGACCTTCTCGGTTACACTACATTTGAATTTGGAATCTGGTGCCACTGTTGGCGCCGTGATGGCTGACGTCAGTAGCCCTGCCGCTCTGAGGTATATAACCTGCCCCAGTCTCGTTCACGCCCCCGTAGCAAGTTGGAGAAGGAATAGCAGAAAGTATTTTTATTGATTGTCAGGTTAGCAATTAGTTGTAGCATTTAGGTAGATTTTTATTAGCTTAGCTGTTTGTATTATAGATAATTATGTAGTGTTAATAGCGTTGTTGTTGAATATTGTAGTTTTAGTCATTAGTTGCTTTTATTGTTAGATTAGTTAGCTGAATTTAGCTTAGGACTTTTGTTTGTACTAGTGTTCTATATCGTGTGCAATTTCATTTTATATTGTTTATTGTACTTGTGTACAATACATACTACTGTATGTTTGAGCGTGTGTTAAATTACTGTCTCTTTTGTGCACATTGGGGTATCATTTCTATCCAAAATACCTTCGGGGTTTCCATGCAGTACAAGTTTTCTCTTGGGGACAAGGAGGTGCAGTGGCTGCAGGTGACTGTGGCAGAGTTTAGAATATTATAACAATATGATCCATATATATGTGATACACTATCCATATAGTTTATCTTGGTCTGGGTTCATAAATAAAATGTACAGACAAAACTGTCAAGCAAAGCACTGCAACATTTGGGGTTACTGTATGGGAATATGGGAAGGCTACATAAATGGCCACTCTTGTCAAAGGTTCGATTCAGACAGGTTAGCATTTCGGGGTCCGGATCCCTACATGATTGCTCTTCAAGACCTGTTACAAGCAGTTCGTACTTTTTAGTCCACTCAAATCATTCAGAAACAGGCCCTATTCTGTGGCGGTCCCCCGCTGGTGCCCGCTAGCTCGCTGAGGGACACCGTCTGCCTCCTCTGTCTCAACCTCCGGTGAGGACGGTGGAGAGAAGTTTTCCACCTTCCAAGACCGCACAGAAGCTGTAGAGCTGGTGTGTGTGATCACAACATTCCCCCCCCCCCCAGTCCCTCCAGGCTACGCCCATTTGGAGGGAGATTTTAAAAGAGAATGTGAGTGACGTAAGCCTTGAGGGAGGGGGGAGGTGAGAAGTCCTTTAAGAGATTCTTTATTCGTACCGTAGTGGGGAAAGTTCAGTGTTGCATCACAAGTTATAGAACAGTAGCAAATAGGAGCACACAACACAAGTTAAGTGAACTATAGCTGTACTAATAAACATAAATCAAAATCTCTAACTCTAGCATCAATAAAAGTATAAAAATTGTACAGTCTAATAGCGGTGGGCATAAAGGCCCTGCGGTAGCACTCATTCTTGCACTGAAGGAGCTCCTCAGTCCTGCGCAGTGGGAGGTGTTGTCCATGATGTAGGTGTCTTTGACTAGCACCCTCCTGTCCCTCACCTCCTACAGAGTCCAGGGGGCAGCCCAGAGTGGAGCTGGCCCTCCTGACCAGCTTGTTCAGTCTGCTCCTGTCCCGCTCTGTGCTGCCCGGAACCCAGCACATGGCAGCGTAGTAAATAGATGCTACCATAGAGTCATAAAAGGTCCAGGGCAGAGGCCTGCTCACTCCGAAGGACCTCAGCCTCCTCAGAAGGTGGGGCCGACTTTAGCCCTTCTTGTACAGGGCGTTGGTGTTATGGGACCAGTCCAGTTTATTGTTAATGTGAACACCCAGGTACTTGGGGCTGTCCACCAGCTCAATGTCCTCCCCCTGGATGTTCAGCAGCGTGTGGGAATTTGGTTTTCTCCTTAAGTTGATTACCATCTCCTTGGTCTTACTGGTGTTCAAGCACATATTCTTCTTCTAATACAGTTGTTTAAGGTATACCTTACTGTTAGGAGAACCTACCAGCCAGATGTGGATGCTGGGGTTGGTCAGGACCTTTGTGGAGGTCTTTACCATGCATGTTTTGGGTGATAGAGGGAAAGGAGGAACAAACCTGGCAAGAGCCAGATTGATGATTGTATAGAACTTTAATGCGTTCTCCACAATATCAATCTGGGACTTCTGCAGGTTAATCCTTTCGGGGAAAGGATAAGCAGCAGAATACTTCAAGCTGATTGGGCGAAGTGACGCTGTGTGCCCGCCTACCAAGGTTGCCGTCCAGAAATGCACAAAGCGCCTCTCGCTGTTCATCTTTCAAAAAAGAAATTGGAGATTTCTTGGAGAGACTTGATAGCCTCAGCTAGGCGTCCGTCTTCCTGCGTAGCCATGTTTGTTTTGCTTCGGCCCGGCACTTCTTGATTTCGTCAAACCGCGATATCCCGCCCTAAACCCCCAGACTGGCGTGTGATTGGCTTGAACACCTAGATGTTCTACTCGAAAAGGGTTGGCGGGAGCGGGACAAGATGTATTCTTGAGTGTTTGTGAACTCACAAATACCGCGAGAATTCAGCTTGCATGCAAGGTTAAGGAGGAACTAGTGTATTTGTGGATTTCCTCCGGGCGCTGCATACAGAAAGGGGCCATCACTGGGGGGATCTTCTGACTTGATGTGCAGCATGAGTGCGACCCACATTGCCACCGAGAGATCACTCTGTGCTGCTGCCAAAAGTGTTGAGTTTGAAAGTTCTGCATAAATATAGGCCATGAATAAGTAGAATGGGCGGTAAATCATAGAAGTCTTTGAGCTTTTGTCCTTTTATCAACAGTTTTATGACTCAATAAAAGCAGAGGGCGCAGACAGAGCAGAGGTAACGTCAGATTAACCATTTGAATCTTTTCAATTAACACTAATGAGAGAGAGAATGTGAATGAGGCCAACTCCAGAAGAGACTCTGCAGACTCTGTGTCCCTTACAGTTGTTCCAAATGCATGGCAAAGTGTTTTGTTTTTTTACTTTCATTGACAAAATATGGAATATTACAAAATATTAGATGATGACATTTTTTTAAATGGCAATGGCTACTCGTAGACTAAAGTATTGTCCTCCCAAGATAAGGCTGATTCATCTGTTTAAGCAATGAAGTTGTGGATGGAGCATTCTGAAGACGACATTTAGTTTAACATAAAAATGTGTCTTCCTTATTAACAAGTATTTCCTTATTTATATAAATTTAGTATGAAAATTAAATATTATTGTTTTAGTATTTAACATTTACAGATTTGAAGAGGGTGGCAGCCGACCCAGAAATGGACAAAGGGTAAGAACAAATTGAAGATTTGAAGAGTATAAATAGATATGAAAATGCATTATAAATCATATCAAATGTATGAAAGCGCAAAACACTGCAACTGTTCACTTCTTTAGAACCAGCTGGGCTGCTCTCCATTTAGAGTCTATGGGGGAAAGCTTTTTATTGTTCATACTGTTCATAATTTACATAAAAAGTAAAAGCAAAGCAAGCAGTACAGTCACCCCCAACTGATTTAACTAAAACCGTTTTTAGTTTAACAAGTAAAGATCTGAAAAGTGACCAAACTCTCCAACAATAACTTAACTTGACAACAGCTTTACCTTCATGTAAATCTTTTTGATAGTGTGTATCAGGGCTGAATGATGTGGCCAACATTCTCAATGTTCAGACTAATATTGGAACAATACAATTTAACTGGGTGCAATGACAACAAAGCATTTGTCAACAAAACAATGATAATACATCTTTCAGCTCTAGTGTGTATCCTCTGATGACCAGCATGTCTTGGGCCCAGAGTAGGAAGCATTGGTTATGCCTCAGGAAAATATTTCCAGGATGAAGATTGATCTATAAAACAAGAGTTCAGTTCAGTTCAGTTCAGGTGACAACGCAGCATTTGTCCCCGGCACTACACTTTGAATTCTGAAAAAAGTCAATTTTCCAGTCAAACATCTTCTAAAGTTGCACACCGCTATCGTAGACTAAGAAAATCTGTCTAGGACCACCTTAAATCCATGTGTATCTCAGTGTGTGGAGTTGACATTTGAAATGGAAGATCCAACAGAAGAATTCTAAATAAAGTTGATGCAATAATTTTTATTAAAAAAAAAAAAAAAAATTCAAACAGAACCTTTAGGAAGAAGAGTGATGTCCTCAGCGAAGAGAGGGGATGTGTGTGTGTGCGTGTGCGTGCGTGTGTGTGCGTGTGTGTGAGTGTAGGGGTGTGTGTGTGTGCCTGTTTGTGTCAGTGTGTGTGAGTGTGTGTGTGTGTGTGTGTGTGTGTTGTCTTGTAGCGTCATGCATTGTGTTATATTGCTGTATCCACTGTACAGTATTTTATAGTTCAGCTTGTTGCTGAATTGTATTGTATGGTATGGTACTTGTTTTATATTGCATTTTCTTTTGTTGACTTCTTTTGTTGAGATGAGATTCATTCAAATGGAAGATCTATCCCCCTTTTCAAACCACATGTATTTTACATCTGTTTGTCATGTTGAATTAAGCCGGTTTGAAATAAAAAATAAAGTTAGCATATGGGGGAATATTACCAAATGAACCGGAAACCCTTGAAGATTGACCTTTAGCTATAGTTTTCATTGTGCCTCCTCCTCTCTTCCCCCACATGTGATGAAGTGCTGGGGGTCACGTTTTATATTTCCAGGAGTGTGGTCCGAGCGCGCACCATCTTCAGACTGTCAGCCTTAAATACGAGCGACCATTAAACGCGTCATCTCATTATCAGATTATTATTATTCACTGCAGGTCACACGCACTCATCGGCAAAGTGCACTGCAAGGAGACTGTCCAAAACCAGGAACTTTTCAATATGAAGATATTAAAATAA